GTCCTCTGACCTCCAGGAGAGTATGGGACAGCTGAGTCCTGTTTGGTCATGATTAGTCATTTACATGGGTATGTGTGTGTCATTCATGGAGGACCTCCCTCGTCCCTAATTTAATAGGGGATTTGGGGCCCTTAGCAGAGGAAATCACTGCATACTTGGAAAGGCCACTGCTGCCTGCACACATGACTGAGCCTTCAGCAATTTCAACGATTTCTCAGGCAGCGTACTGTGAGACCACCTGAATGCGTGGCCCATCCTAAATCTCTCTAGACCAGCGGTTCTCAACCTGTGGGTCGCAACCCCTTTGGGGGTCGAATGACCCTTTCACAGGGGTCGCCTAAGACCATCGGAAAACAAAAAGATATTTACATTACGATTCATAACAGTAGCAAAATTACTGTTATAGAGTAGCAACGAAAACAATTTTATGGTTGGGGGTCACCACAACATGAGGAACTGTATTAAGGGGTCGCGGCATTAGGAAGGTTGAGAACCGCTGCTTTAGAGGTCTCTTGTGAGTAAGCCAACCTGGCATTTTTAAGAGCTTAGTAAGAGGCCTAACTGGCGGGAAACAAAAGAAAAAGCCTCCAACATAAATGATGACTAAAATATGAAGACTGAGAACCACTGAATCTGCAGAAAACAGGCAACTCTCAGCTCCAGAAAAACTGCAGGTCCTTTTAGACACATGGTCATCCTTGTACATGAGCCTCAAGGATGTGGAGTACAGATGGAGTCTCTCTGCACTGGTCGAGATCCAGGGGATGGGCATCACGACCTTGAATATTTCTCTGATGTGAAAGGCAGGTACTTGCAGCCCTTCAGAGGGCATGGGACAAGATGCCCCTGGGTGTGACAGGAGTGGCAGCAAGGTTCCTTGGTCCCTCCTGCTATCACCAGCATTGAGATGGCAAGAACTGAGGATCTTAGGGAATCACTTTCTGTCCAAGAACAGAGAGCTACATCAAAGGAATCACAGGACATGGAGGACTCTGAAATGCACTGCCTAGGGAAAAGTTGCATAGAAATGAAGGAAGTTTAATAAATGCCTCACCCATTCAGAAACAAATCCTGTGAAGGATGGGCATAATGGTGAATTAAGAACACAGGTTTAGGAGTCAGACTGACCTGGATTCAAATTCTGGCTCCACCTCCTACTAGCTAAGCAATGTCAACTAATCACCCACCCAGAGAGGCGGGGGGATGTGTGTGCTCGGCGTAGCAAGCCTCAGTCCTGTAAAAACATTACATTAGTTAATTTATAATTCTTTTATTGGTGGCTCCTCCTTGCTGAGAATGTATCCTATCTTTGGTATTCAGCCTGTGTACTGGATTTTACAATGAATTATTTTTGCAAAGGCCTCACTGAAGGATTTTACTTTCATGGAATACGGGAGTGATCATGTCGGCCCTCTGCTGGCTGGCTGGCTTTCTCATGTCACCAAGCACAGAGAGGAGCAGGGGCAAGCCTCAAATGAACGCAGCTGGATTCCACTGAATCTGCACGTCTAATGGGTCTTACTAAATTCGCATGAAAGAGAGATATTGGTGGCACATACCAGTCACCTGTCCCTGTCATTTCCCTGCCCACAGGGCACCATTTTGCAAGGAGGACTGATATGAGAATGGACTAGAATAAGGACTCCAGGTGTTGGCTGGCACTCCCAACCCATCCCAGTCCAGATCGATTTCTCACAAAGCTCTAGGGGTTCCATTTCCATTACCTCTTGCCATGTATCAAGTCTCCCCCAAACTTACTGGCTTAAACCAACCACCATTTTGTTTTCTATGAATTGACAGGGCTCAGCTAGGAGTTCTGCTCCACATGGTTTCAGTTGGATGCTTGCCTGGGCTGGGATGTGCAAGAGGGCTCGCTCACAGGTCCAGAGCTTGGTGGGGACAGCTGGAAGCTTGGGGCAGCTGGGCCTCTCTCATCTATGTCATCTCAGGGTTCTCCCTCTTCAGATGGCCTCACTGCATTGTCACTCCAGCACAGTAGCTTGGTGGTTTAGGGCTCTCCAAAGGGCAAAAGCAGAAGCTACCAGGCTTTCTTACGGGTCAGGCCCAGAACAGGTACAGTGTCACTTCCCCACATTCTATTGCTTAAAGCAAGTCACAGACCACCCCAGATTCATCATGGGAGAGGACTTCACAAGGTGGGAATCCCGGGAGGTGAGGTTTATTGGAGACCATCTTTGGAGAATGGCTGTCAGGGTTCTCTACCTGGGGGTTCATAAGAATATGAGAGAATGGACTATAGATTGTACCAGCATCTGCTTATTTAACAGAACACTTAGGCAAAACAAAGTAAGTGATACCAATGTCAGGGAGTGGGATTCTGGCATTAATTCTAATACCTTTGGAATTGGGGAATGTATTAATCATACAGTGTAAGTAAAGGCCTCTTCTCTGTCCCTTTGGAGACATTTCTTTCATCTTCCCGGTGTGTGTCATCTATTGAGCTTCTCCTGTGATTTGTGCATCATGTTGTAATTACTTCTTGCTTCCTTTCTAGAGAACGGTATTTATGCTGATGGCTGAGGGAGTGCCATCTCACTGTCTTCCTTTGCCAAACATTGATAATTTATGTGCGGAATTTCTGCCAATCGTTTCCATAACCTCAGATTCTGCTATTCCCTATGGCTCCTGAATGAAGCTGTGAACTTAAGGAAGGTTGTTCTCCAATGTGCACTCTGAAACAAAACTTCGCATATACAAATCTCCCTTCCTGTGATATCCTTTGATTTTGGAACATTCTTTGTGACTGTTAGCAGTTAGAAGGTATTAGGGCTGGCCTTGGATTTCTGCCAAAACAATGACTTCCAGCTTTTGCAGAGCCTGAAAAAGAACCCAATATAACAGAGGATGTGGTGGGTGATAGATGCTCAAAACACTCTTGTTGAGTGAAATGATAAATGTTATTATAATTGTGATGGTGAATAAGTGAATTACCTTTTGCAAAGGACCTAGAACACTGCGAATTTCAATAATTGTTAATTACCATTTTAGTACCTACCCATTCTTTAAAAAATTATTTATTTTTTATTGAGGTATTAATTGATATATAACATTATATTAGTTTCGAGTGTCCAATGTAATGATTCAATATTTGTATACATATATTGCAAAACAATCACCACAATAAGTCTGGTTAACATCCATCACCATTGCTTAATTTTTTACACAAAGTCTGCCCCCAAAATACTAATCCCAAACCTTAGATTGCCCCAGCCACCATGGGGCATTTAATATATTTACATTTAATTATCAATATATTTGCTGTTCCCTATTTGTCTCACTCTTTCAGTTTCTTTTTATCTCTCTAGTTGGATATTTTTTCTTCTTCCATTTCTTTCCTTTCTATTAGCTTCCAAGTTATACATTCTATTTCTAGACTTTTAGGGGTTACCTAGAAATTTTAACAAGCATATTTTATTAATCAAACTCTGGGTTATTTATTGTTTTTATCCTCCTTTAACCCTAGAAAACTTTGACTATGTTCATCTACCTTCTGACTTACATGTTGTTGCAATTTTAGTTGTGTTTTGCTTTTTCTAACTCCCAAGACATTGAGAGTTCAGATTTTATGGTCAATTTTCATTCATTTTTCAAATCTTCTTGGCCAAGCTGGCTCTTTTCTTATATCTTCAACCTCTTCTACCATTTATTTAAACAGATTCTATGTTGAATAATTCAGAAGTCTTTGCATGTCTAACTCTTGTGTAAGTTGCATTTGCTGGCTCTTGCTCATGGTACTGTGTTAGTCTTTGATTCATAATTTATGAGTTTTTGCTTATATTTCTTGAAAATTACTTGGGTGATTCTTTGTGCCTAGGTAGGAAGTAAGTTTACCTAGAGAGGAGGAATACATCTGCTTCTGTGGGTATCTCAGAGCACTACAACCCAAGAACATTTTAAAACAAATTCTTGGCTTGAGTTTTTTTGTGACCACCTAAAGTATACATTTTGTCTGCAAGCCTATATAAGGTCAGGATTATTATTTGAAAAATCAGAGGAAATGTCCCCATGCCCCTTCAGTTCAAGTTTCCAGTCAACCTATTTTATTTTCAGTTTTCTGGAGGGTCAGGGTCAAGGGACAGATTAATTTTTCATTCATCCTTACAGGTAAACTTGTCACCTTTCATCTGTCATGCTATTAGACACAAAAATTTGTATGTTGAAATTTTACTAAAAGTCTTATTTTGGTTTTAGAAAAGGCTACATCATCTGTGGTGTGGTTGCCCTCTGCAATCAGTGCCCAGAGAGACTTTTGGGAAGAGTAGTAAATAGGAGAATTCCCAATATCTATTCACAATTCTCAGTGCCCATCTCAGAGTTTAAGTCACTCTGTCAAGGTGAAATTCGCCTGGTGAACATCTTAAACACAGCTCTATCAATGGGTACAAATTCTTTGATTATTCACTCGTACCCCAGTTTGACTGGGACCTGGACCATTCTCTTCCTGCATCGTGAACCTGGTTCCTCTCTATCTTTCTCCCTATTTGGTTAGTTTCTCAACTGAAAATCATCTTTCTGCCCAGCCTTTTCAGCTCTCTCAGGGAGTCTGGGCCTGTACCATACCTGAGGAGCCACCCCTCCTGGTTCTCCCTGGTCATAGAAACCATTTTGAACAAGAAGCTTATCTCATAGGCTGCTCCCTGTTCAGGCCTTTGACCAGCTCATGGCCTCCTAATCTCAGTTCATTCAAGAATTACTTCCACAATCCAACTCAGACGTCCTTTTCTTTTCCCTTCTCATTTTTCCTCTTACACGTCTCTCTTCTATGATGTTTTTCACAGGTTTTACTCCAGGGCCCTATTATTGTATATACAATGACATGTTTTTGTCTCTCTTTATAACAGCTCCAACCCCGCCCCCACTTCTCCCATGATAGGTCAGCTCTTGTGTCTTCAGAACCAAATGTGAGTGACACACAGTGTGGGCTGTCTTGGCACACCCCTGTCCACCCCTTTAATTCCCTGTGGGTATTTTACTTCTAGTCACAGAAGCCCAGAAGCAAACCTGGAGGTGCGACATGAAGAAAGCTGGAACCATGCTGACCTTGTGCACTGCGGAGATGCAGACTCCGCTCCTGGAAATCCCACGGTTAATGCAAAAGAAGGAGATGGGGGTCCCCAAATCTGCCGTGTATGTGGGGATAAGGCCACTGGTTATCACTTCAACGTCATGACATGTGAAGGATGCAAGGGCTTTTTCAGGTACAATAACCTGTCAACCTTCACCTGTTAACTACCCCTGGCACACTGGGTCACATCTAACTAGGGTTCTGCCATTAGTCCACTGGGCACAGTCTCAGGGCCTCACCTCGACCTATCTCCCAGGTTCAGAATGTGGGCCAGTGGCCAGTTCAAAGTTCTCTTCATTAGTCTCAGGAGACTCATTCATTACATCTCAGGAGAATCCTTCATCTTCCATCTTCCTACCCAAGAAAGGTCTCCTTCCATTAAGACATCCTTTGTTTCTCCACATGTTCTTTAATAAAATAGAAAAATCAGTTCATAAAAGAGGAAAGAATTTGAAAGTCCAAAATGCAAGTGTTCAAATCAGTCTTAGGGAGTGGTTGTTAAATAAAGAATGGCATAAAAATAAACGAAGACAATGACAAAACAAGCTCACCTAGAAAGAGGCAGACAGGGAGGTCCCAAAAAATGAAGGACTAAAAAGTTCCAGCTCACAGCAAGACAAGCCCAGACAGAAAGGCTCATGTTTTCCACCTGAAGAAAGAGAAGACAAAGCTCAATGCAGGGCTCAGGCCAAAAGAAAGAGAAGCTGACCAGAAAAGGAGGGGAGTGGAGGAAGGAATGTGTAAGGAAGAGCTAGCACTCAGGGAGGACCAGGTGTGACAGAGCAGTTCCCACCTCTGGGGTACACGTGGGACTTGCATGCATTCTCAAGATAGCCAGCCCGACTTGGCCCTCTGCAGAGTTCTTCTTGGTAGCTGGACAAGCAAATGGAAATGAACCCTAGAGCCAGGACCAACCCTACAGTCCTGGGCTGCCAGTCAGCATGCTGTGGGGTGCGGGGGGCAGGGGCCAGTACGCACAGGAGGACTTCCAGGCCTGGGTCAGCCCAGGGAAGCACTGCAGCAGCTCAGTGTCCCATAGCCCAACCCCTTCCAGTCCAGTGAAGAAATTCCAGCTTCAGTCTGACGCGGTTAGTTGGGCCTAGGACAGGTCCGAAGACACCAACATTCCAGCAGGAAACAAATATCCGTGTTTGTGGATTATAACAGAGGCCAGACACAGCGATAGTGTCAGGCTGCATTTAGTCACAAGTGACAGAACACTCCACTCAAAAGGGTTTACCAATAAGAAAAGCATGTTACCTCTCATGACTAGCAGTCTGAAGGCCTCAGGGTTGGTGAGTTCAGCACCTCAGTTCTTTCCGTTTTTCTCTCCTGCCAACCTACATGAGAGTTCTGACCTCAGCCTGCTCCCTTTGGGACAGCATAGTGCTGGGGCCACAGGCAGTAAGCATACTGTTCAGCCTGGAGGCAGAAAGCCCCCTCCCTTCCCCAGCACCACCTAGACAGGGGGATCTGGGGCAGCTGAAGGAACTGGTAACAATAGGGAGGCTTGCTACCTCACTGGACAATGGCTTCCCTCCCCATTGGGAAAATGGCTTCTTCTGATTGACCTAGTGGAGCAAAGCGGTTCAGCACCCTGTAATAGTGGAGCATGTGGGCACTGCAGTCATGTGTGCTTGCACGGCTGTGTGCAGTAGGGAGACAGTGAGGTCAATGCCTTTTAGCCATCTCAGCACAATCCAGGAAGAGGCCACCTACACAGAAACATCCCACAGGTCCTTGGTAACAAGGAGGAGGGGATAGGTGTGTGGTGAGGGAGCTGGGCCTGGGACCTGGAGCTGAAACATCCCAGAAAGTAGGGGCGGGGCGGGGGCTATTGAAAGCACAGCACAGTGTAAATGTTGCAGGAAAGCTTTTCTCCCACCACCCCACCCCGCCCCAACCTCCTCCTGGGCCCAACCCAGACCCCAGGCCGGAAGCTTGAAGAGCTCCTGCCAGGACCTTTCCTGTGAACCCCACTCAACTCAGAGGCAAAGGCAGGGCTCACAGAGGGTGTGGCTAGTGCGTTCTCACCCTGAGTTGGGCAGGGACAGGCAGACAGAGAAGTGTGGCTTGGAGCCCCTGTCCTGTTTCCCATGGCTTACCATTTGCTCTTTGTTCTCTCACAGGAGGGCCATGAAACGCAATGCCCGGCTGAGGTGCCCCTTCCGGAAGGGCACCTGTGAGATCACCCGGAAGACCCGGCGGCAATGCCAGGCCTGCCGCTTGCGCAAGTGCCTGGAGAGTGGCATGAAGAAGGAGAGTGAGCGGCGGGATATGCCCTGGGCGGGCACGGGGCTGGGGTGCACAGGCACTGTGAGCCTGACCCAGGTGTGCCAGGGGCCAAGTAAGAATGGACCGTGAGCATGTGTATTCGCATGTGTGCAGTGTGTGTGCACATGGGCACAGGTGCCTGTGGCAGCTTGTGCTGTGTGTGCAACCGGCAGGCACATGGAGCAGAACCTGCAGCCCATCTGACTGCACCACCATGGCCTGTCCTGGGGAATCTGACAAATGGAGGGCATCTTATCTTCTGCTCTGGACGTGGTGGACGTCTCTGGCCAGGGAGGAGCCCCTCTCTCCCCTTAGTTGCCCTTGCATGATTCTTTTTGTCTCCTTCCATTTGTTCTTAAGGTGTTTTAGCCATACTGGGGGAGGTGAATTTGGGAGAGGGAAGCCAGAGATGCATGGTGTGATATGACCCCAATTCTCCAGTGGCTAGCACCTGTCGGCTGCCCTGGACTGGCCATCTTACAGAGGACCTGTTTGCAGACAGGTGACATAGGATGCTCTCATTCTACCTGTTGAGCTTTTGTACAATGGTGCCCCCAGGTCACTCTGAGATTAAAGCTCATTGGGAAACAACTGGAAGTTTTCAGTGCATATTTGTGTCCATCAATCACAGAGTGGGCAGCCTTTTTCAGGGGACAAATTCCCTTGGCATATGGGCATAGAGCCTTTCCTGCAGACCAGCGGAGGGCCAGGCCCTCACCTGCTATTCCTGCTTTTCCCCTCCAAGGATCAGCCAAATGCACAGCTTCACTCTGCACTTACAAGTAGGCTTCAGAAATGCATGGGAGGGCCTAAAACTCTAGGCTGCACAGGAAGTGGCTGGATTGATGGTTTTTGCTAAGCAGTAGCCCCAGCTTTTCAGGGGCTCGGAGACTGAGAGACCTTGGGGGACTCTGAGGAGTCTTGTTGTTACGATATAACCAGGAGCTATATTATGCATTTCCATGCAATGTCTCATTGTAACAGCAATAGGAGGTGAGCACTGTCACTCCATATTATAAAAGGAAACTGAAGGCAGGAGAGGTTAAGGAGTTTGTTCAAGGTCACCGCTAGGCGGCAGCAAGGCTGTCACTCAGACCCAGCACCTTTTGATTCTGAAGCCTGAGCTCTTTCCACTGTAACACAAAATTATCACAAACCCCCCAGCTGGGGGCAGCACACCAGCCACATCTCATCCTTCTGTCCTTACCCAAGAGTTTCTTCAGAGGAGTCTGGAGAAGGGCGGGTTTCTTGTCACCAGCACTTCTCCTTACCGCTGCAGGGGTTAGAGCAGCGGTTCTCAACCTGTGGGTCACGACCCCTTTGGGGGATGAACGACCCTTTCACAGGGGTCGCCTAAGACCACCGGAAAACAAGAAGATGTTTACATTACGATTCATAACAGTAGCAAAAGTACAGTTATAGAGTAGCAATGAAAATAATTTTATGGTTGGGGGTCACCATAACATGAGGAACTGTATTAAGGGGTCGTGGCATTAGGAAGGTTGAGAACCGCTGGGTTAGAGGAAGGTGGCCTAGCTCCTGACCCTGCGCCTGTCTGTCTCTGCAGTGATCATGTCTGACGCAGCCGTGGAGCAGAGGCGGGCCTTGATCAGGAGGAAGAAGCGAGAACAGATCAGAACACAGTCCCCAGGAGCCAAGGGCCTGACTGAAGAGCAGCAGATGATGATCAGGGAGCTGATGGACGCTCAGATGAAAACCTTTGACACTACTTTCTCCCATTTCAAGAATTTCCGGGTATGAGGCTTTAGCGTTGGCTCAGCAACCATGCCAGCTCCTCAAAACCCCAATCTCACTTCCGGGGATCTTCAAAGAGTGGTCCCTGGACTTCCACCAGCAGTAGCACCTGGGAACTTGTTAGAACTTGTTAGAAATGCAAATTCTCAGGTCACTGCAGATCTCCAAAATCAGAAACTCTGAGGGTGGTCCCAGTAGTCTGTGTTTTGACAAGACCCCCCAGGGGATTCTGACGCATGCTCAGGTTTGAGAATCTCTGCTCTCTCCTTCCGCAACAGGTAGGAATTGGGTGTCAGTCATGCGTGGCGTTTTGGAAGCTGAGCTGCCTAGGGCTTTACGAGGACACACAGGGTCAGGGCCTGTTGGGGGTATGATGTTTGCAATCTGGTGTGACTGATCTAAGACACGTTAGTGATCTCAGCACTGTCAGCCATGTTTGATTCCTGCGCCCTCCTCCCAGCCTGTGCTCACAGTACCTCGGGTGACTTGCCCAGCTCATAGAACTGGCAGCCGATGGCCCCAGAAATCTTTTCTTTCCATCTTCAGCTCCCAGACCCTTCTCTCTGAGTGTCCTGAGCACAAAGTTGGGATGCAAAGTTGGGAGGGGTCCCATGGGTGGAGGACCCCTCACCTTCTCCTGGGGCAGGGAGCAAACCCAGACAAGGATGTGAAGGACCATTAATTCACAGATCTAGAAAGTGCACCACCTGATAGGAGAGCAGAGAACAAAAGCAAGTGTTCTCTCTCAATGTGTGTGTGAGTGTGTGTGTGTGTGAGTGAGTGTGTGTGTGTGTGTGTGTGTGTGTGTGTGTGTGTGTGTCTGCAATTGTGTGTCCTCTCAGGCTGCAGCTGTGGCTGTGTGTGCCCATCTGGAGCCTGTGTGGGAACCTGTTTGGGAGAATACATGCTGTCTCTACCTCCCGTTCTACCTCAGCTGCCAGAGGTGCTCAGCAGTGGTCGTGAGATCCCAGAGTCTCTGCAGACTCCATCACGGGAAGAAGCTGCCAAGTGGAGCAAGATCAGGGAAGATCTGTGCTCACTGAAGGTCTCTCTGCAGCTGCGGGGAGAAGACGGCAGCATTTGGAACTACAAACCCCCAGCCGACAGCAGTGGGAAAGAGATCTTTTCCCTGCTGCCCCACATGGCTGACATGTCAACCTACATGTTCAAAGGCATCATCAACTTTGCCAAAGTCATCTCCCACTTCAGGTAGGACACTGGACTGGGTGGATGGATGGGTGTGCAAAGGAGCAGAAAATGGCCAGCAGGTTAATGGGGTCTGGGGTAGGTCCCTTTGACATTGGGGAATGTTGGTACTCAAAGATCCTCCTTTATCTCTGCCTCCCAGGACCCCTGGCGCTATTGGAGAATGGGGCCCTGATGGCATTCTCCATAGCTTTGGGACTGTGGGCCTGCCATTGAACCTCACTGTGTCTCAGCCTCCTCATCTGCTAGAAAGGAGCTAATAACTCCTATCTTTCAGGGCTGTCCTACGAAATAAGAAAATATCTGAAGCCCATCTAGCTCATACATGACCGACATTCAGATAGTAATTCCTTCCCCCATTTCCCCCCAAAAGGGCAGGAATCACAAGTTGAAAGGTCCAGTGCAAAGAAGGAGCTGGAAGAAAAGGGAAGGCAGTCCAGAGGGAGGAGGAGACAGGCAGGAACAGATGCTGGGTCTCCAGCAGTCTGCCACCAAGAGAAAGCTGAGAAGGCCATGAGGAGGAAGACTGATTCTGAGAATTAAAGGGCCGGGACTCCTCAGAGCTGGGCATGCAGGCAACAACCATGGGGCAACAGCTCGTGAGAAACCTGGAACCTCCTGGTGTGGTGGCAACCACAGCCCCATAATATGTAGTGTGTCAGGGCTTGAGATGGCACTGGGCGTGTCTGTCCTGAGCTTGGCCACCTGGCCTTGCCAGGTCTGGTCAGGAGTTGCTGAGTCACATACACAAGGAGCCCGATTTCATCAGCAGGCAGAGGGCAGCTTACATTCCAGAAGCCCACACGTAGGACTTCTTTAACGGGGCGAGGGTGACCACAGACTGGAGTGGGGTTCAGGTTGTGGCACATTAGGTCAAGGGAGCAGGGAGAGAGGCCTCCTTACACATGGGGACCTTGGCCATCCCCACTGACATCTGATGACCTACAATTTAACCTCCCACGGTGGGAGGGAGGTCACTCGCTGCTTCTTGGGGCCACAGTTTTGAGCACGACCACCCAGGAGGCAGGCATGACCATCACCTTCAACCTACAGGTAGAAAACTGAGGTTCACCGAGATTAAGGAACTTCCACAGGGTCGCAGTTAAATAGAGAGGCCAGATTGGAAGAACAGAGCCACTACCTGCCAGGTGCTGGGCCAGGCACTGGGGAGACAAGAAGAAGAAGATCAATTTCATGGCATTTGTAGCTCAGTATTATGGATCTAAAAGAAGGGGGGTGTGAAGAAAACAAGGGACTGAATTTCTGAGGGGACCAAAGCGGAGGGCCTCTCAGGTTCAAAGGGGTGTCAATCTAACCATGAGTATCAGAGGCAGCTACTGTGGCTAGGCCTGTGCTCGGTGCTGAGAGAGGGGCTCAAGGCATCCAGGCTTGAAACCCAAAATAGACCTCAGGAAACAAATATCCCCGATGCATGCAACTCACTTTAAAGGAGGGGCAGCAGTAGAAAGACTCTGTACTCTGGAAAGGCTTCTAGGAGGTGCAAAGACTGCTTGGCCTGAGGACTAGCAGGATTTACCTAAGTGAAGCTAACAGGGCAATCATTCCAAGTGGGGAAATTGAGGCAGAAAGTCTGAGGCCAGGGACCAGGGGCCAAGGCATCGGCTGTGGGTCAGTGGCTGTGCAGGGCGTCGGAGGAGATGGGGCCTGGCTGTAAGGAACCTGGGCGCCAAGCCCCATTGGCAGGGGCATCCCTGAAGGCAGCAGGAGACTAGAGGAAGATGGCAGGGAGTAATCAGCTTGACTGGATTGTGAGGGGAAGAGGTTGGAGGCCATCAAAAGCAACTGCGATAATCCTCAGGAGTAGGAGCACACCCTGCCTCTCCCCTCCCTGTCCCCCGATCTCTGGGTTATGGGAGTGGGTGCTGGCCTGTGATGGGTTCCCAAGAAGCTGGCATCCCCTCCCATCCTTGCTGCCAGGGACTTGCCCATCGAGGACCAGATCTCCCTGCTGAAGGGGGCCACCTTTGAGCTGTGCCAGTTAAGGTTCAACACGGTGTTCAATGCAGAGACTGGGACCTGGGAGTGTGGCCGGCTATCCTACTGCTTGGAAGACCCTGCAGGTGCCCGAGAACTGCCCTTCTGCCCTGGCAGTGGGAGGGAAAGAAAACCGGGGAGGGAGGGAAGGAGCCACACAAGTCCCAGGATGTGCCTGTCCGGGGATTGCGGGGCAGAAGCTTGGGTGATGGGAAGGAAGAACCTGATGAGGGAAGTCTGGGTCTTGGGCCCACTTCCTGACAAGTTTGCCCCTCATCCTGCACCCCCTACTCCCCCGCCCCCCCCCCACACACACACAGGTGGCTTCCAGCAGCTTCTCCTGGAGCCCGTGCTGAAGTTCCATTACATGCTGAAGAAGCTGCAGCTGCACAAGGAGGAGTACGTGCTGATGCAGGCCATCTCCCTTTTCTCCCCAGGTGAGCACCCACCTGGCCTGCCTGGCCTCCCCACTCCCCGGGCTCACAGCCCCTCAGCCTTAGCTTTAGGATGCATTAGCGCCTCCTCTGCCTCTGCCCCAGGGAAGGTCCCAACCAATGGCCTTGACCCCCAGTCACTGCAGAGCCGGGATGGGGGCTCCTGCCTGTTTCCCCTCTGGTCAGTGGGGAGAGGCACAGCCCTCCCCTCACTTCCCTGCCTGGGTGTCTCTGGCTCTGGGAGGTGGTTGCTTGGCACTGTGCCCTCTCTGGGCTGGACTGAGCGGTTTTTGCCCCCATGGCCTTGCTGCCACCACCCTGCCTCCTTCTCCCCACCAGACCGGCCAGGTGTGGTGCAGCGCGGCACGGTGGACCAGCTGCAGGAGCAATTCGCCATCGCCCTGAAGGCCTACATCGAGTACAATCGGCCCCAGCCCGCCCACCGGTGAGCAGCAGGCAGGGGGGGCGTGAGGGGTCCTCTGGCAGCCCTGCCCTCCCGGCTCCTGCGCTCTGGGCCTCTGTGTGAGCCGAATGGAGCCACTCCTGGGGCAGCCTCTCATGGCCAGGGCTTTGGCGCCCTGTTCTGTGACCTCCACTGAGGCCTCCTGCCCAGTCAGCCTGAACTCCAACCCAACAATGGAGATACCTGACAAGGGCCTGAGGCCACGCCTAGCCAATGGGACATTGCTCCCTGAGGCACAGCTCTCATCAGCCCAGGGGCTTCGACGCTCCTGTCATCAAAGGGTGAGAACAGCCAGGTATTCTCCTGAGGCTCCTACAGGGTCTTCTAGCAATAGCCAGCAATAATCATAATGCTAAAAAAGATAGCAATAATGATGGTGATAATAAGTCTGTAATAGCTACCATGTATCGAGAAGTGGCAGCCCTGGTGCCCAGTACTTTACATGTATTATCACAGCTGGCCTTGAAAACAGCCCTGCCAAGTGGGTGCCACCACCATCCTGCAGGGGACTGGAGGCTCAGGGCAACTGCCCCAGGTCCCACAGCCAGACAGGTGGGATCTGGAGGTGAACCCAGGCTGACCAAGTCCACAGCACACACTCTCGAGCACTGCCTAACCGCCTCCCAGAGCAAAGACAAGCAAACGGGGCAGGAATTAATTTGCTCATTCGTTTGTTCTGGTCACCACCTAAAGGAGGAAGGCTGCTCAGGGCTGGGTTAGACAGGGGCCTCCCCCTTCACTGGGCCTCAGCAGCCCACAAGCCTGGGCCTCAAGGGGTGAAGCCCGCACAGGGTACATAGTGTGAACTTAAAGCCTCGAGTCCCGACGTGGCCTGCTGCAGCTTTCTTTTGGGCTCAGCATCCTGGTATGCTGCAGTAGCTGTGTCATCCTCTGCTCAGTCCTCCCCTGTATGGAGCCAGGAGGCATCAAGGGGAAACTGAGCCCCGAGGTGTGTCTCAGCCACTAGATCCCGGGATAGATCCAGGAGGGGATTGCAGCTTGCAGCTCCCGCCTCCACAGCGACTCCACTCAGTCCAGCCATTAGCCAAGGCAGTGGCTCCCACCCCCAAAACTGACTGATGCACGTGGCGTCTGCAGTGCCTAGGTGTTCCCATGGAAGTCTCTGTGTACAGGACTCCAGCCCGGAGGATGAGCGGGGAGTGCCGGTCCACACCTCGAATCCCCCAGGCTGTGCTGCCCTTCTTGTCACAGGCTGAAAGAGAAACTTAAGGAATTCAACCGAGCCTTGTCTCTCGGCTGACCCCAGATGTCCTGAGATTAACACCCCACCCCTAAACTCATGTAACTTCAGAGCGGGCCCAGGGTTGGTGGGTGGGCACAAGGGCCCGCTCCTGACCTTTCCTGTGGCCGGCCTGCAGGTTCCTGTTCCTGAAGATCATGGCTATGCTCACCGAGCTCCGCAGCATCAACGCCCAGCACACCAGGCGGCTGCTGCGCATCCAGGACATCCACCCCTTTGCTACCCCGCTCATGCGGGAGCTGTTCAGCATCTCAGACGGCTGAGCGCCTGCCCCGCAGGCTCGCTTCCCCGGGGCGGCCACAGCCAGAGCCCTTGGGGCCATCGCTCCTGGGCCGAGACAGACGGACATCGCTGAGAGCCGACCATGCCCTACGGGTCCTGCCTTCTCAGGGAACTCACGACTGCTCTGATGACACCGGCTAGCAGGTCTCAGGAAGGGGACATGCCCCCCCCCCAGCCCCCTGCTCAGGCTGTGGAGAGCAAAGCCCTAGACCCTTATATGGAGAGTGCACTGGCCTATGGGTCAGGCCCACGAAGAGGCAAGGCCACTATCCCCTTAGAAAAGGCCCTGTGGTCTGGGGACTCAGTGTTGTGGTGGGAGAAGGGAATGGGTGACCAGGGCTGGGCCATCGGACAGTCTGTACCCACACCCAAGTTCATTGGCTTCTTGGGTCTTTTTGCCGTTACTTCTGGTACTTGTCTCCTACTTCCCCCTCACTCTTACCTCGCAGCCTTCTGTCCTGAGCTGCTTGGTGAGCTCCAGGCCTGTGTCGATCAGCAGGGGCGTTAGTGTCTCTGGGAGTTTTCTAGAAAGAAGCCGAAAGCCTGCACCAAATGTCAGGAGCTTGTCACGATCACTCCACGTATCCATTCTTCCCTCCTTCCGGCCACCTCATTCCGTGTGTCTGCATCCATTCAAACGCATTATTAAGTACCAACAATATGCAACCTGCTGTGTGGTATACACGCTAACTCATACATGGATCCTGACCTCAGAAAATGTTTAGTTCAGGAAAGAAACCAAAGCAGAAACACAAACAACTTCGATCAAAAGGAGAAGGGACAGGTGAAGGCAGCTGATGAAGACATTTCTTTGCGTGGATCTAAGCTAGGTGGAGGTTCTACATGCACCTGGGGACCCAAGTGCGGGGGTCCTTGGGACATGTGTCCGCAGGAGGAAGGCACTGACTGGCTGTGTGCACATGTGTGTGACTTGGTGTAGGTCTGCTCCACGTCTGCACTGGGACTTGGGTTTGCTCCTGAGGCTGGAACACTGGCGTGTTGTGACGAGGCTACGTTGACAGGCAGTTAATAAACGTGCTAGATATGCATGCACCGTATGTTCTTGTTTACAGATCTATTTTCAAAGCTAAAGAGCATGGAAATGTCTGCTCTGTTTTTATCATTTTGAGTAAAAACGTTTTTGCTTTTTCTGCCAATTACATTTAAACTCATTTTACACACCTAAGAACAAAACTTAGCAAATATGTTCCTGGGTTTAATGTCAGCTCAAGGCAAGAGGACTTAAGTAACTTTCCGCTAGAGATTTAAACCTTATTTTTGCCTTCTTTTATGGGGAAAAAAGATGGGGTGGGAAAATAGAAATGCCATATATATATATATATATATATATATATATATATATGGTATATAAATTTTTTTAAAAAAACTACTATACAATTGCCTTTTATACATTTGAATACTGTTGGTGCGAGAACATAAAAATGTATTCACTTGGTTTTTTCATAAAATGATTATTCCATATGAAAATTTAACATATTTATACCATAATTAAAAATCTAGTAATTGAATTACTTTTAAAAGTAATATTTTGATGCAAATGAAGCTACAAGTTAACTGGCTTTTAAGGAATAGCTACTTGCTTAGCTTTTACCACTTTATAGGAAGCCAGACCAAACTTTGAGAACATAAGAAATTATCAATACCATACAGCAAAGCAAGCAAACCTATTTCCCGCTTTCCCTCCAGATTTACCAGCCTCTTCTGCATCAAGGAGATATAGAACACACTCATTTTTAGAAAAGAAACTGAGAGGGAATAAACACTCCTCTCTGAAAATATAATGAATACAGATTTTGCCCCAAGGAATTTTTATCACTTGGAAATATAAATTTCATTCAACTGTATTCATAAGTCATATGCACCTCTTTCTTCCCCATTGGAATAAATATGAGTGTGCCATTCATTCAAGAGCCTGAAATGGTTGTTAAGTGTAGGCTAGAGTAAGGTGAGGGCAAGATGAAATTAAGATGGGATGTAAACTCTCATCTCCCTGTGTTGATTTAAAATAAATACCTAGCAGTTCCCCAAACATCGAATTAATGCACATACATGAGGTCTGACAATTAAGTTCGCAAACTCATTGCAACGATGTTGCTAACCTTTTTGATATCAGAGGGATTATTCATTATGAATTTGTTCCAACTGGACAGTTAACCAAGTTTACTATTTAGAAGTGCTGAAAAGGCTGCGTGAAAAAGTTAAGACAACCTGAACTTTTCACCAACAATTCATGGCTCTCGCATCACGACAATACACCAGCTCACACAGCACTGTCTGGGAGGGAGTCTTTAGCCAGTAAACAAATTGTATTGGAACACCCTCCCTACTCACCTAATCTGGCCCCCAATGACTTCTTTCTTTACCCAAAGATAAAGGAAATATTGAAAGGAAGACATTTTGCTGACATTCAGGACATCAAGGGTAATATGATGACAGCTCTGATGGCCATTCCAGAAAAAAAAAAAAAGAGTTCCAAAATTGCTTTGAAGGGTGGACTAGGTGCTGGCATTGGTGCACAGCTTCCCAAGGGGAGTACTTCAAAGGTGACCGTAGTGGTACTCAGCAGTGAGGTATGTAGCACTTTTCCTAAGATGTGTGTGAACTTAATTGTCTGCCTTGTATGATGTATGTATTAAAAACTAAGTGTAATCCAAGTGTAGTTAACATTCAAGGTTAGATGTACCAAAGTGCTCATACAGGATACTACTTCCTTTCAGCAGCTTTGAGGACCTCCAGTTTATAGGACTTATGAGATAGATTCAACTCTCCTACTGGCAAATTTTTGGGTTTCCCTATTGCCCCCTTCAGAGAGCTTTGGAGCATGTAGAACTAAGTGTCAGTTTCTAGGCATCCCTGTGGTCACCGTTCTTTTTCTAGATCTTGCCTCTGTCAGGTGAGGATGGAGTCAGTCTCCAAGCTCAGGAGAAAAGACCTTGTTAATTAAGTTAGTGTTCATCTTCTGGCTCCCCCATTAGTTGGAGCCACTTAGCAGCCAGTCCCTAGCTGGCCCAGACTTTAAGGATCCAATTAAAGCCTTGACATCGTCTTCTTGTGGGGAGGTCCAGGGTGGCTTCTCCTTCTGGAGAACATAGGATGTGAAGAGAAATACACATTTGATTGACCATCCCTTCCCAGCGTCTGACAACTTGTAGGCCTCATCATGCCATCTTCCTCAACAACAGCTTGTTTTGCCCTGGACATGTTCCCTTAACATACCCACAGCTCTCCTAATCCGAAGGTGGTAGTGGGCAAATGAACTATTCCTACACCTGAGAAATGGGGGACTACCCCATCACTTTTGTTCTCTTCCTCACAAACTTCTCTGTGAAGGGGACCTGCAACCTGATCTCTCCCTTTCCTAACTACCCTTTTTGAACACCTAAAATGGCACCCACTGTCACTCGTGCTGAAATTCATTCAAGAGCCTGAAATGGTGAAGGTGAGATTAAGATGGGATATAAACTCCCATCTCCCAGTGATGATTTAAAAATACCTGAGCAGTTCCCCAAACATTGAGTTGATATGTACATATGACTTATGTATTATAAAAACTAAGTGTAGCCCAAGTTAATATTCAAGGTGAGATGCACCGAAGTGCTCCTACAGGTGCAGATCCCAAAGCACTGGTTGATCAGTACTTTTTGGAAGACCCTAGAAATTTAAAATGCTGTCTTCCAGGATTTTAAGTTAAATGGACATCTTGCTCAAACCCTTCAAACAGGGCAGGAAATATTGGTAAATCCCAAACAAATGCATTTCAGGAGGCCCATCCCACAGGTGACATCTTGTGTTTGCACTTATTCCCCCTCGCAACTAGTAAATATCTCTACTTTACAAATATTAGCCAACACCCCACCACAAAGAAATAAAAAAAAAAGGACCAGGTGTTATCCAATATAAATTTGTTTTTATTGAAGCAGCAGTCACATGACTTTATATCTAGCCTTTAGATTAGGCCTGACAGTGAGTCAGCCCTAAAAAATGTTTCTTTTTGCACTAAGAGACATTACATGTTTACATACATCATCCAGTATTGGAAATGAGCAGACTCAAACACAACATGTGTCGGTTACCTGGGAGGTACAGCCCCACTGTTTGTGGTGTTCATATATTTTACAGATACTCCCAAAGACCATTACTAACGGGTTGAAAATTAAAAGAAAATACAGCTACACCAAACCATGAACACAGTAATCAAAGACAGCAGCTTATACACTTTTAAAAAAACTTGTCCCTTCCAGGATGCTTTCTTTCTTTTCAAAGCAGTGTCTGCAAAGCTTCCTCTACATCAAATCCAAAGGTTTCCAAGATGGAAGCTGCACCTCTTGGGGCTACACAATGGGAAAAGATCATTTGAAAGAACGAGAACTAATGTTCATATTTTGATTTTTATAACAAAGATCCATGTTTCTCTAATTGGAGGAACGGTGATGGTGATGTGACTACATATTGCAGTGACAAAGTAGGTAGGGTGAAGAAAAAGAGGGTTGGGTACTGAAATAAAGACCACACACTTGTGAATTTTTATTTCATTTCCAGGCTAACCTACTTTTTATTTAATGCAAATTACAGTACCAGTTAACTATTTCCAAACCAAGTCACATAGAACGAAATGTATTTACAAGGGAATGGGGAAAGGGAAAAAAACCATTGAGCATACTTTTCACAAAAAAGTTTATATTTAAAATGAAAAAAAAATCAGTCACAGAGGCATTCAAGTAGTAATAATGTTATACAGGTTTTGCTTTTCCTTTATATCAAGACAGATTTGCACAAGTGTTTGCAATAGTTTGTTTACAACCCACAGTCCTTTATATATATATATATATATATATAATAAAATTTTAATTTGTTTTTAAGATGGAAGTGGTCACACTAATTGGTATGTGTACAGGCCCAAGTGATCCATCGGCAACACATTTATAAATGCAAATTTTACAGGCAAGCACATTTTCATACATCTATCTGTATCTGCCTGTAGACAGATATAGTAAGAAGAAAAAAAAACTTCAAAAAAAGAACACAAGGAAGTCTACTTTGTCAAGCTAACCCCTTATGTACTGGTTGTCATTTTGCTTTTATTGCAGAGGTGCAAAATGGAGCAACAACCTTGAAAACGTCATCAGCCTTGTGAAAATAATCCAAACCCCAGGGATTACTTTCAAAGCCTCTCAAACGTAGACCTGTCTGGGACTCTATTCTGCTTCTAGTTGTCTCTCTTTATTTTCAGTGGCTCAGGTTTCTACCAGAAAAGACAGATGTTATTGTAAAGCATGCTTAGTTTATTCTTCTATATAGGGGAGAAAGTGTTCGGCTCTGTGATTAGATGATCTCTAACATGAACAACAGATACAATTTTGGTTTTAAAACAAAGAAAACCCCCCAGACTCCTGGGGATCTGGCATTGGCCAAACTTCCTTTGGAAGACTCCAAAGTTAAATCCCTTAAATAGGAAGGGGAAAAAAATAAGTGAAATGCCAGTGTCTTTATATCCACAGGGATAGAGAATACAATAGTCCTCTCAGAAACCTTTGCATTGGTGCAGACATGATGACTGGTTAGGCAGGCTTTGTTAAAACACAAACCAAAAATATGTATCTAAAAATTAAGAGGACTTAAAAAAAAATGACACGTCACTGGAAAGAAGGTGCAGTCTTCCGCCTTGCTGGAATGAACACATGATGTTTCAAAAATAGCAACCTTTGGTTTGGTAAAGTTTTTCTTCTACTCAAAGACATCTTATATGGAGTAGTTGGAGGCAAAACGAATGATTTTTTTTTTCTTTCAAAAAAGGCCTTCATGATGGGCACATGGTGAGAATTAAACTGATTTTTGAAAAAGAAATGAAAATGTTATTTCCTTGAACATGGGTAGAGGTGGCAGGAGGCTGGGAATGGGCAGGAGCTCCCTCGTTGGAACAGCAGCTCTGTTAGTTCGGCAGCACTACACGCAGTCGCTGCCAGGGATCACACTACAGCATTGTTAGGTCCCTGATGATCACAACCTGGTACTAATAAGAAACTTATTTATCAAAACGAATTCTGTTTCTTTCTCTCTCATGTGTGAGGAAAGGCGATGAGGAGAGAAAGCACGCATGGAATCTGCTGTTGGTAAGACTCATGGTTAGGGTTTGGGGAAGAGACGAGCCAAAGCTAACTTGTTGGTATCCTCCAGCTCTCGGGCTCCCTGGCACCACGCTAAGTCCCTGGATGGCCTACATATGAAACGAAACCGGTCACTGCTACTGAGGAGGAAACAGATGTTCAGAACCAAAGCAAAGGCAGGGCTTGAATGAAACGAGATTATGAACATGGTTTCTTCTTTCCACTCCTGAGCATGGTATTACTGAAATTCACTATGGAGAGGCACAGACACTGTGTTATAAGTGAGCTATTATCTCAAAGAGAAAAGGGTGGAACAGGGAGACATGGATAGAGAAACCAATTAAAATTCTAAAAATGAAAAACAAACAAAAAAATGAACACATGGAAGCGAAGGCACTCCAAACTATATAGATACACTATACATTGCTAGAGTTATTGTTACAATAATACAGGCCGGTACCTACTGTACAGAGTTAAAACTATATGGCTTTAAAAAGCTCGTCTACATTTTGTCTGATTATTAAACAGAATCACTGCCCTGAACAGTAACTTTTTGCTCATTAATAACAGTTCCTGGGTCCACATATTTACATACAAAACAATAAAACTTAAATTTAAAAACATTGAAAGAAAATATAATGTACAAGCTTGAATTTGGTGAGGAGCTTTTTATTATTATTATTATTATTATTATTATTTACAAAAGATATTCAGAGACCCGGATCTCACTTGTATAAAAGAGTTCTGTGATCCCGCCATGATCCTTGAGAAAGAAAAATCACGCGCCTCAGCCCTCTCACACACACAATATAACGAGAGAAAAGCAGCTGCCTTTTCTCTCTTCTTCTGATACCCCACTGATTGGGGAGGAAAGTGTTTTGTAAAACAAGCAGATTTTTATGGACTCCAGCAAGGATACCAAGTCCGGAGTAGTGTCTGTGTCCAGATGTTTGGCTGGGCAGTTTGGTCTGAAAGCAGGTCCATTTCTGTCACAGACCTGTTAGCTTCTTTATAAATCCTTTCTGAAAATGGTCTATCAAAGCCATTCCCTGTAGCAACTATGCTGCCAAATACTTTGATTCAGACCTCTTTCAAATCTTAATCAGCTCTCAGAAGCTCATTATGAAAAGTGAAATTCAATTTGTTTGATTTGGCTTGGCTGAGTGTGTTTCCTTTCTCATGAACTCTGATATAACCAGAGGTTTGAGAAACCCCCTTTCATGGCCTAAGAGCTTAGCTAAACAGTGAGTGAAAACTAAGATGGCTCCCAGCCGCCTTCCTGGGCATTGGTCACTTCAGCAGGCAGTGGGGCTCTCTTGAGAGCCACACACCTTGGGTAAGCGGCAGCACAGGGAGCTGGGACCTGCATGAGGGCTGCCAAGTGACTCCACTTTCAATTCACCTGGAGGGCGAGACCCCTAACATGACCTAAGATGGCAACGCGGAGGGCGGAGGGAAGTTACACACACTCTAGGGCTCAGCTCTGCAGCCCCCCCGTTTTCAGCTAACCTTGGAAGGTGTGGGGAAGGTGCGGGTAAGAAGGAAAGGGGGCCATCACTCAAGTGATCTTTAAATGTAAAGTACAACTGATTGTGCCTTAAAGATTCATAGGTCAAGTAATGGCCCATAAGCACCAAGGTGACTAAGGTTCGTTTTAGAGTATATAAGGCCCACAAAGATGTCAACCTTAAAAGTATAAAACAAACTATTTGTGAAAATCTATTTCCTCACTGCAAACATAATCCTTCAGTCCTCCTTGCTTTCCAAGGAATATTGCTTTTTCTTCAAAAACAGAGACTGATTCTTACACTGTTCACTGATACACAAAGAAAACAGGAACAAAAACTCTTAAGTGGGTATGGGGGGGCAACATCCTTCTCACGCGCCAACCAATTTTGATACTGGACAAAACAAAAACGAAAACGAAAAGGAAAACAGAAACAAAATGCAGTACTGAATCTATGTATATATAACATATATACAGACATTTATATAATCAACTTTCCTATAAAGTCAGCAGGTACAAGTGACTGTTTATATCATTTTGATGTGTAGTTTTAATATTCCTACTACCATCTAAAATCATAATGGCCTATCTGACATGCATCAATAAATAAAATTTAAAAAGCATGAGGTTAAAAAAAGCTGAAATTAAATACAGATTCTAGATTTGGATTTAAAATTAGAACTATGTGCAGAATGTGGCAATTTCTGCAAGCTCGATCTGCAATTAAAAAAATATGAAAATAAACCAGTAGACTGTTACAGTTCACATTATTTAACTATAATGTCCTCTCAAGTGTATCTTTCCGAGGGAAGCAACTTTAGGAAAAAATCTGGACTAATTCATTCACAGTGGTGAGATCTGCCCCTGGCCTGTCGCCTTTCTCCAGGCTCATCAGCTTTTGACCTCTGCAGCCAGAGTGGCCCTTTTCAGTCTTCTTCTAGGTCACTTGTTTAAAACTGTACTAAGATCTGCAGAGAACCTTTGGTCAAACAAAGACCCACCATGGAGCGCCTCTGCTCCTCCTCTGACAGCCTCCTATCAAAGTGTCTCCACCACTAGCACTGATTAAGAGCAAAGCAAAACCTTAACCGATTAAAAATCTTCCCTTTAGAGTTTCAAACTTTATTGACATCCCTGGGTTACAAACGATACACATTTCCTTTTGTCTGCCACACCTGCCACCAACATGCCAAAGGCAAGTCTTCAAACACCCGAGGCTATGGATTAGTTTTACAAGTGACACTGAAGTCCCCATGGAGTTACACCTGCTAAGCTCCCAACCAATTTCAAGCTGTGCACTATACCAAGGTCTTACACTTGACTTTAAAAGAAAACAAAGTTCACAGAAACTTTAGCACAGAACAAAGTTTTCTTCTTTTGTGGAAGGAGCATGAGGCAGGAGTCCTGTTTTTTAAGAATACAACAGCAGACTTTCGATAAAAAGATTGTCGTGGGAGAGAGATTTTGTGTTAGTGCTCCGCTTTCCCCTCCCCACAACCCCTCCCACCCCGGGTCGTCCTCAAAGTGAGAATACAATGAAATTGGTTTGTATTTATAGATATTTTACAAGGTTAAATAAGAACAACAATAATAAAAAAAATTGAACACTAAAATGAACAGGTTTTTTTCTCTTTTTAATTTTCTTTCCAAACGTGACCAGTGTTGCTGAGTGACACTCAAGTAACTGGTGGATTTTCCTGTGCAGCTGGCTGCTCGGGACTGTTCAGGTGGAGTTGGAAGCTGATGCAGAAGCGGCGTTATTGGTCTGCCCACGGTCTCCAGCATTAGCATCTGCAAATCAAAAGTTTCGAGAGGGCATGAGCAATTCTAGAACACCCCAAAGAGAAAAGCACACTGCCTCCACTGCAGACTGGGAGCTGTGTGGTCTTCCAAGCTGTATCTGGAATGCTATTTTAAGCGTGGCCAATGCTCTGAAATCTGATTTCTTTCTGCTTAGAGCTAAGTCCATGCCTTGGCCTAGTGCCAGTGCAGACGATACTGGTTCTGAGTAAGCTACAGACTCAGGTAGCCAGAGACCATTTCTGCCACAGCTCTTCCAACAGCTGGGATCAGCAGTGTACAAGTAACTCAGGTAGAGTCTAACTCACTTGAAAATGCACAGCTGGAAAAACTTGCTAAAAATTCGGAACCATGTTACAATATGCCATCTACTTAAGTGGGTAAAATGGGTGGAGGTGATACAAGTAATATGGGTCAGTGTTGACAGGGAGAAGTGCTACACGTAATACATAAATCAAACTCCGCTGCTGGCTTTCTAAGTAAAGCCTCTTTGTTATTCACAGAAATGGAAAACAATCAGCAAAAAAGAAACACCCTCTGTAGTACCAATTCACTTATTCAATAAAGCATCTTGTAGTCAAATATCTTGGCACTAAGCTTGATTTGCCTAATCCTTTAGAAATACATGTAACTTTAACTTTCACCCTTTCCCCCCTCTAAAGGTCCAATATTATTTCACAGTATCCATTAACATTTCAGTGGGTATTTAATCGTGTCCAGATTGGCTCTGCATCTCAGGCATGCAATAGACTGTTATTTCAGTGGCTGGTCTATTGCATCCCTGTCATCTCATGCATGACTGGGAATATACTGCTGGGCCAATTTTCTCCCAAACACTTCATGTTAAGCCATGGGCAAAAAGAAAAGTGGCTTGATGGGGGAGGGCAACTTCCAAGAGCCACCTCCCTAGAAGTCATACCACCTGTGGCCATGAAGGCTGGTGACACCAAAAAACAGACCCAGAATTTCTGTCTCTCTAGAGCCCGTAGCTCTCCTCTATCCTGTGACTGTAAACAATCTCATGGCTGAATGCAACATTCAGTCTTTGGAGTTTTCTACTTTGAATTTTTAAATTAGAGCGAGAAACAAAAGACCCCAAGGACACACAGGGATTCTTAAGGATTAGCTGGTCAGTTTATAATTTCAGTGGCCACTCTATAAAAACTATACCTCTTTTCTAAATTCCTGATCTTAAAACAATCTGCCCTTATAAGCATTTAACTCAGCCTTTGGAGGAGAAATGTTTACCTCTCTTAATTTGAATGGTTATGTTTAATTTAGTTAATTTGCTTCAAAATAGCTATAGTTGCTTCCAATCCTGTTTTCATATAAGTAAGTACAGACATTATGGCACCAGGGTCCATGCATTAGCTTCTTACTGCCCATGGCATGTAGTCATATTAACTCGCTAGTGTGACACATCAACAGGTGGCAGAAGAGGGTATATGACAGAGCTTATTCTCCAAAGGCAGGTAAAGAGCCTATTCCAATAATCAGCAAGTAGCTGTGTCTAATACTTCATTCATGACTCCTGGTCTTTCTTGGATATGCCTTGCTTGGCAGGAGTTTTTCCCACAATGATCACCCAAATTCTGGGCATCAACAATAAACTAACATCAATTCCTGTCCAGGCCACATGTTCCTACAAGTCTTTCTCAGGAAAAACATTCATTTTCATAATTAGGCACAGGGTGCATTAAAAACAACAGCCCAGAGAAAGCCTGAAAGGCCTCAGAGCTATGTCACACTGATAACGTTCCTCACAAACCCCAGCTTACTGCAGCATTTCCTGTGCTTTGGATGGTACTCAGAACCTATGCATGATCATCATTAAACAGAACTTATCTCTCATTTTCAGTATGTGAAAATGACAGGTCAAACTGTCATATTCTGATTTTCCCCAGCACTTCAGAGATTCCCTCATCATCAGGAATTTATCTGCGTGACCACGACATCAGCACGGTTAGCAGCTCTGGCCATGACAGCATCAGCTACGTCGGCCACTACCCAGCAAGGCCCAACTACATGGTCACCCAGCCCATTACATTCATCAGCTCTTTGACAAAATCCTATTTAGCTACTAATCCGCAGATGTCCTTTCACTGGTTACTACCTGTGAACTTATGACATTCCCCAAACTAGTCTCTGCTTCCTTGGATAAATTCAAGGCTGTTTGTATGATCAAGGCTGTTTGTATGATCATAATAAAAAGCATAAGCCTTTTAAGTGGGCACATAACCAAAAATGAATTCACCTTCTGAACAATAAAATTTGAAGACACTCAGGCTCCTCAGGTTTGTAATTTAATGATCTCCTATATTTTTCTCTGAATTATTTCCAAATCACGTGACGAGTTAACATTTAACAGCTAATTATATTATAAATATCGTTGATACCTAAAGTCAAAGCACTGTACTCATTCAGAAAAAACAACAACAAAAAAAAACCCCAAACCAAAAAACCTTAAAATCAAATTATACAGGTCCTTGCTGAAAAAAAGAACAGACTTCTCTGTTTTTCAGAGGGAGACAAAGTACAGAGAGGAGAAAAGCAAAAACAAAACAAAACAAAACAAAATGTGAAGTTTTACAAACTCAACAGTCGCTCCAACAGACCACTTGACTTACTGAACAAAGCTACTTGTTATTCTTGGTACATGCTTATTTTGCTCCTATGGTCAATTCTATAAACTTATTTTACCATAATTGAATTAATATGGGCCTTCTGTAATAAAAATGTTCATTAATTTAAAATTCTGATGAACTGGATGATTTGGATGTTTACTGTAATTTCTGTAACTTTTCTTCTCAATCATTTATAACTCTTTAGCAGCAGCAAAGCTCATTTTGTTTCTCCTGCATTTCCTTCTTTACAGTCATATTGGTAAAAGTGGTGTTAACTGGCATTACGGTTTACAGGATAGGTTAAGATCTTCTGATTACAAAGCATCCAATCCAACTACGAATCACCAAAGGTTGACTATATAGTCTCTTGTTTTTAATCTTGAGGTGCTCTTCTGATATTCACACTGACAATCTCTCTTTAATTCAATTCCACAAACATTTATCGAGTATGAGACCTAGTTGTACAACTTAGTAGCTGTGTGATTTTGGAACACGTTACTTAACCTCTTTATCCCTCAATTTCCTCATCTGTAAAATGGTGGTAATACCACCTATTTTTATAAAGTAAGGCTCATGAAGTGTTTAGCATGGTACCTGGTTTATAGTAGTTGTTCAATAAATGGAATGGTAAAAGAGACATCTAAATATACACACATTTATAGTTGCGTGTGACTTTGGTAACCACCATCACCACCATAGTAAGTATCAGTGGCAGCAGTTGTTAATCTCTGAGTCCTTACCAATGTGCCAGGCTTCATACTAAGTACACGGTATCATTTAGCCTACACAGCAACCCCAAGAAATAGGTACAATTATTACCTCCACTTTGCAAATGGCAACACGGAGGCCCAAAGTAATACATGTAAGGTTGCAGGGCTAACAAGTGGGATTGCTGAGCACCCGAGGGACAGAGGAAGAGAATGGTGACTTTATGGGCAGTACGGAACAGCAGAAAAAATTTCCTAGCAAAGGGAGAAAAGGGCTTAAGGGGACTTTCATTCAGACCTAACCCCTACAAATCCACTGTGATTTCTAGAAGCCTATTTCTAGTATCCAAAAGGGTTACTACATTAAAACACATCAGTGAATTTATAATAAGAAGAATTAAAGGTATAGTTATTTTATTTTTCTAATTTTCAAACAGTCTGTATGGGTATATAGTTGCAAGTGTTTTGGAAAGAACTATAGAGCTGAGAGTTTACTGACTTCCTAGCTTCCTAGAAACCAATGCCCACTACCACCCTTCTGATGCTCCTACAGTACAAGCAAACAAACAAACGATAGACTTGAGGGGGAATGGAGAGAATAATCAGCTTTGGGAGAGAAAGGTGTAACATCATTCTTATACATTGTGGTAGCCACCTTTCAAAATGGCCCCAAAGAGTCATGACTCTTGGTGTCTATGCCCTAATGGAGTCCTCTCCTCCAGTGAATAGGGTTGGCCTGTGTAACCAATAGGATACTGCAGAAATAATGATGTGTGACTTCCAAGGTTGGGACATAAAGGACACTGTGGCTTCCACCTTGTCTTCCTTCTTGGACCACTTGGTCTAGGAGAAGCCAGCTGCCACAATGCGAGACCCTCAAGTAGCACTATGGGGACATACACACGGTGAGGGACCGAGGTCTCCCACACACAGCCAGTAGGGATTCACCAACTATGTGAATGAGTCATCCTGCAAGTTTACCTTCCAGCCCCAGGCAAGCCTTAAGATGTCTGCAGCTCTGGCTGACATTCTGACTACAACCTCATGAGAGGTCCTGACCTAGAATTGTCTGGCTAGGCTGCTTCTGAATTTCTGACCAACACCAAAATAATGTTTATTTTGTTTAAAGCTTCTAAATTTTAACCAATACATACATACATGTCAAAGAATTTAAATACCAGTTAGTGTTTATGCTCACAAGCTCATGACAGCACTACTGACCAGATCCCTCTACAAAATTAGGTATGCTCTTAATAAACTATACAACACAAGGAAGACTGCATCATATGGCCAATTGTTTTTCCCTAATCTTAAAATGAGTCTATGGTTATAGGCTTTTGTACTGGATGTGACAAAAGGAATTTGTGCATGTATTCATTGAAACCAATTTTAGTCTGTGTGACTTTAGAGGTAAAAATGACAAGTTGGGCAGTCCCACAGTGAAGCCGACGGTGAAGCCCTAAGGTATCAGGTCACCACAGAGTTCATGAGGCTGCGATTTTGTTCTAGAGTAAATTTTTACATGCAAAATTACATATATGATACACATATATTTTTCTAGGAGAGGATTCATCCCCCCCCTCCACCCCCGATTCACAGAGATCTGTAAGAGTTGCTGGATAACTGAGTCCTGGATTTGATGGGCAGCTGTCTGAATACTGAGGAAACTACTCCACCTAGTTGACCAGGTCAGAAACCAAAAGTGTCTGACCTAATGTGCACATGGGGAGGGGAAGGAGAGTAAATGGAATGGCCACATTTATAAACTGCAGCTGAAAGGTTTAAATAAAAGGAGGAGAAAACAAGGAATTCCAGCATTCCAGAACTAGTGTTCTGACAGTGTCCACTGTCAGCAGCAGTGATGGGAAAGTTCTATCTGCACGCTCTAAGAGTGGAGCCGTGTGCTACATATGATTAAGTTTGAGATTAAATAAAAATTTAGTTCCTTATTTATCCTAAGCACGTTTCAAGTTCTCAAAAGCTACAAAATCATTCAATTTTTAATATTTTTATTATTGGTGTATTAATCAAAGAGCATATTTCAGATATATCAAATCCTTTTTGTTTTACATGGACTTAGTATATTTGGGAATTTACAAAGTATACTTTTAATTCCTTATTTTCTTTATTATGCCCTCCCAGACTCATTTTATATGTTTCTATTCACCAGCTATCCTCTTTCTATAATAGTTAGAAAATGTCTCATGAGAGGTCAACTTCTCTAAAAGATAAAATTTTAGCAGCTTGGGATGTTATTTACACAGTGTAGCTACCTCAGGATGTCCCTATTCAAGCTGTCCTAAGTGGCAATGCCACTACTGTAAAACCATGTCTCGGGTAGTAGTGTTTTCACTGATGAGTGGAACAAACAAGATCATTACAGAGTATCAAAGGTATACCCTAAGCTTATATTTAAATTGAAATCACGATCTACACTAATAAAATTGAAGTATCACCTGTAAGGTGAAGAACTCCATTTTCATTTTTCTCTTTATGTCTACTATGATTCTGACAATTTTGCATGTGTAATAATGAGGGAGAGGGAGAGGAATCCTCAGCAAAGCCTCATGACCTCTCTTTTTCCTATTATTCTGAGGGAAAAGTTATGGCACAAGACACCAAGGTGGCTTCAGTCATTTCAAAAACAGAACTGAAATTCAGACACCAGCAAGACAACCACTCCAGCAGACTGACTGGAGGGCTTGTCAACAAGCCTGTTCGTATTTGATGGGCCAGCAGCAGAGGCCCTAGCTCTGAGCAGCGCACACTGTAATTAACGGCTGCTATTCAGAGTAGGGAACTGAAGGCCACTTAGGACACAGAAATCCGTTTCATCTTTTACGTTAAAAAATATAATAATTTAGGAACAAAGAGCAAGAAAAGGCATATAAATATAAGCAGGTGACTTCAGGCGAGTGGCTGAGGAACACTGGAACACCTGGAAGAAGGTCTGATAAGACATTCACCGATAAGATTTTACATTACTCTTGCAGGTAGGGGGAAAAACCCTGGTAAAATTTTAACTTAATAGGCTAGAACACGGTTTGCAAAAAAAGAAAGTTTCCTAAAAGTGAAACTTAGCACTGTGCTGGTAAAATAATGACTAAGCTAATGACTTGAGTTATCTATATATTAACTTGCCAAGTGAACCTGAAACCCTGACACAGGGTAGATACCACCTCACTGGTGTCAGTGAATTTGTCAAACTGGCATATGTGGATGGAAGTTTGTATTTCAAACACAGAGCCAATAGGAGGAAGTGGGTATAGCACTGTACCTAAAAAAGACACCCACATTCTTTGGCTACCACGCTGGTAACGCCTAAAAATAAGCATGAGCACACTGTGCCTTTCCCACCCCGACTCTGGGCTGGCTAGCGTGAAGGGAATGGAGAAATGGAAAAAAGTGCACTGCCAGTGGGCAGTGTAAACTGGGACAAGCTTTCTGGAAGGCAGTTTGAGAACATGTATCAAAAATTTAAAAATTCTTCATACCTTTTGACTCGGCAATTCTACTTCTAAAAATTGGGACACAACCCAAATATCTAAAAATAAGGAATTAGTTAATAAATTATGGTACAGGCTTAGAACACCAGCTAAATATTATATAGTCATTTACTCCCATCCCCCAAATAGCATAAACCCATTTAAAAAAGCATGTCTCTCTGTCCATTCATATATAGACTAAAATATGAAATAGTTACCTTTGATTATCTATGGAAGTGAGACTATGGGAGATATTTTTTCTAAAACAACTATATATACTATGTTTTTAATAGAGAAAAAACCTTGGTTTTTTTTTTTTTTTAAGCTGTATACTTTCATGGAATTCCACATACATATGGATTAAGATAGAACAAACAGAAAGAACAGGGTTAGGAAGAGGAACACCTGAGGGCATAGCCTGCAGATGCTACAGCTAAACAGGACGTGGACACAGCTTTCCCAATACACACTGTGAAAGTGGCACACAGGCAAAGCGAGAGTGTGCTTGGGGAGGGGAAGTGGGATGGGAGTTGCTGTTTTAGAAAAGCAGGAATTTGATACACTGACTTAATTTAACATTTCATCTCTTAAAATCAGTGGAAACGAACAATGAGAGTAATTATTATGGGTTTAATTCTGTCCAATTAGGAAGAACTGGCTGGTGGTATAGAAGGTGACAGGAATTCTGGGGTAAAAATAACTGTAATAGTTAACGAAAGAAGATCACTGGCTCTGGCTAAATCTGAACCATGACTTTAAACAAAATGGATTTCAAAAAGTTCAGAGAACAAATAGGTATGCATTTGTGGCTAGAGGCTTCAAAAAGGGCTAATAACTAACAAAACCCAGAAAATTATAAAAAATGAAATTTTGGCCAAGCAATTGCAAATAATCTCAATGCAAAGTAGAGGGAGAAGAACCAAAGAAAGCAACTAAAAGGGTTTTCTCTGATGAGCTCATATTAAAAATAATATAACTTTAAGAAAGGCACATATCCAAGGAATAGAAAATAATAATGTGAACCTGTAAGAACAGGCTAGGTTTCATTTAAATAAAGTAACAGCAAAAGGTTTTCAAGCAAGATCAAGAAAAAGTTAAGCCCCCTGACCAGGTAAAAAGACAGAGAAGACAGACCTTGTCCAACTCCTATCATGATTCCCTTTTCTGTTAGAAGGGTTTTCAACCTGGAAAGGATATAACAAAAATCCTAATAAACAAAACGCAGCCCAAGAAAGGTGAGGGCAATCTACATATTTAAATGTCTTTAAACCCAGAATCTATATAGAGTCCAAGAAACAAATTCTAACATCGATTACAGATATTCACAGTTTAGAAATATCTAAGCACTAGAAATTTCCCTAAGTCTTAAAAAAATATTTTATTTTCATCTTTGATAGTTAACACCTTTTTGACAGAAAAGAATCTGAAAGTTTTCTTGACAACAAAGTATTTTACAAAGTTTTTCATAACATTATTATATGTATTGTAAGGTTGGTCTGTAGCTAAGCAAACAACAAGAGGGGTAACCAATCACTCTGAGACCACTAGAAGGATTATCTCCAGTAAACCTTACCTGGTCCCATTTAACTTGTTTTATCAATTTCAAAAAAGGCAAAAAAAAAAAAATCTGTAGTAGGCCCTGCCTTGTCCTGTTTGATAGATTTTATTAGTTGCTTGGATAGAGGCAAAAATTGATGTTTAGGAAATGTGCAGATGATATACAATTGTAAAGAAAACTTAACACCCTGACACGTCAGAACATTTCAGGGTTAAGATTTAAAATTCTCATTAGTATGGAAGTCATGTTAGCCATTATTAAAATTTGAAAGATTTGTGGTGCATGGATTTTGGTTGGTTCTACATAACCCCAGAGTTCAATCACTCAGTGGAAGAAGGTATAGGGGGGCAAATTTCAGGGTGAATAAAGGATAAACTTTCTAACAGAGTGATACAAAGATGGAATGTGCTCATTCTTGTGGTTATGAGCTTCCAGTTAGTGAATATATACATAAGCATGGGATAGATGACTAGTTCTCAGTGGATAATGAGAGGTGAACTCAAATCAGTGGTTTTCAAATCTGCTTTAATAAAAGAACCACTGCACTGAAAGAAGCCTTACCCAGAAGACTAATATACAAAACAAATAAAGAGAAAACGGCTCTAGTTGAAATTCCCCACCATACCACATCAGATCAGAAAGTCTCCAAAGTGGTTCATTTTTGATTAGTACAACTACAACTTCTCAAGATTTATTATTCTAGGTGGTCTAGATGAATGGTCTCCCAAATGGAGTGAATGAGCGGATCTGTTGGGGGTGTGGAGAAAATCAGAATTTTATATATATCAAAATAAGAAATTATATTTTATGGATTGATAGTAGTATGTATAATTTTCAAGAGTTTCTCATGTCAATCAGAGAGAGCCATGATCAACTATAATGCTCCCTGATACTGAGGTATTTTAACAACAATTTTAAAAGATGTGAAAGTTTTTGAGAGAAAAAAAAAAGGTCAACGTCCACACCCACTAATTTAAGTTTTAGTTTTTGTATGTTTCTATATAGTCCCTATCCACATGCAAACACACATTTTGGCAGTTACCAACATGGTACATAGGATTTTTAGATTTTCTCCACATAAGTTGAGATGCATATTTCCACAAATATCCTATAAGCTTCGTAATAATTTTTTATGGTTACATAAAAATGGAGATTCATAATGTATTGAAACAATTACCTACTGTTGACCATTCAGATCAGATTGGCTTTTTGTTATTATCAAATTATTCTTATTTATATCTTTGTACATGGTAGCTTTTGTCCTTCTGTTAGATTTATCCTGAAGTTAAGATTCCTAAATGGGGATTAGTGAACTAAAACAAAGTATGAAGTCTGATGGTTCTTGTTATACACAGTAATGCTTTCCAATGAGTCTTAATCAGTTCACCTGCAGTCACTACCTGAACCTTGAACACAACACTAGCTAAGTACTCTGTACACTTTATAGCTTACTTCTCCGAACTCTACGCAGTGAGTATTTACTGTTCCTGTTTTATGGATAAGGAAACTGAAGCCGAGAGAGCATGTATACCAGGTGAGATCAAACAATACACTGAATGTTTAAATAAAAAATAAAAATTTATTACAGTAAGTGACAAATTTCTAATAACCCCCTACAAAATACTCCCCCCTTGCTTCGAACACACTTATCCCGTCGTTCTTGCCATTTTCTGAAGCAGTTCTGGAAGTCCTCTTTCGTGAGTGTCTTTAGTTGTGCTGTCGTGGCTGCCTCCATGTCCTAAATCATTTTGACTTTGGGGAAGAGCCAGAAGTCGCACAGTGCCAGATCCAGGGAATAAGGTGGATGAGGACACACTGTAATGTTTCTATTTGACAGAAACTGCTGTAACCAGAAGTGATGTGTGGAGTGTTGTCATGATGATAGATGATTTACGGCACACTTTAAAACACACCTTCTCTCAAGGTGTAGCTCACACCCAAATGACTGTACCGAACAAGTTGAAACTTGTCATACACTGTTACTAAGGTTTGACATGCCGCTTCCCATATTGAAGATCCCTGCCTTTCCATTAGATGGCACTTGGCAGCAGCATTCACTGTATTTTGTGATCACAACAGGAAGGCTCCATGTCACACATCGCTTCTGGTATGGCTATTTCTGTCAAAGAAAAACATTACGGTGTGTCCTCATCCACCTTATTCACCAGATTCGGCACTGTGTGACTTCTGGCTCTTCCCCAAAGTCAAAATGACCATGAAGGGTAAATGTTTTGAGTTGATTCAGGATATTGAGGCAGCCACAACAGTGCAACTAAAGACACTCACAAAAGAGGACTTCCAGAACTGCTTCAGAAAGTGGCAAGAATGATGAGATAAGTGTGTTCGAAGTGACGGGGAGTATTTTGAGGGGGATTAATGGCAATGTGTCTTTTATTGTAATACATTTTTTTAAAATTTCAACATTCACCATATTTGTTGATCACACCTCGTATTTTAAGGTCTTATTTAAATATAATCCACATCACCAAATTCTTATTTAAAATATATATAACTACATGTATTTGTATTTAAATACAGGCAGCCACTAATGTCATACAATCAATCCATTCATTTAGATGAGCATTTTTTGAGGGACGTTTGGTGACATACGGGGCTCTTACTACTCTGGCTAACACTGAGGGGCACCTAAAAAGTATCCATATGAAACTCAATTATGTTTATTGTTAGAATGGCGATGAGAACATTTATTGTATGTCCTACAGTACCAAATCTAGGACCCTAAGGGAGAAACTCTTCTCAAATAGCAGAGACAGAAACACTTTGCTTCTCTTAAGCCACCAGCGTGCTTTTTATCTAGTGAACAATGGAAAATTTTAATAGGTAACATTTCTTTATTTACTTTAGCCACTAGGAAGCTCAGAGCAATATCTGAAATCCTTTTTGGTCACTATTAAGCTATTCAAGGCCAGCATTTCTCTAAACTAATTTTAGCTCTGCTCTCAGCCTACTAGTCTTCTATTAAATTCCTCACATCCTGATTTACTTCAACTTTGAAGTAAACTCTCAGGATCACAGTCCAAGGCCAGTTTCCATATTTATGTTGAAATCTGATTTCAATATATATAGCAATAAAAATATTTTTGGTAACTACTATAACCTGAATCAAAGCAACTCAAAAATAAAGTTATACTAGGCTCCTACTAGGCAAATTGCCCAAAATCCTTAGTTTATTTTAACTAGTTTTAGTACCTCACATTAAGAAAATTTACAATCATAATTCTCATTTTTATCCACAGTCTAAAGCAATTCTAATAAAACTCCTGGAAATTAGCTCAACAAGTAAATGCATTTAGTTCAGGGTTAGGGCCTATTTCAAGTTTTGAAAATGAATGTACTCTAACCTGAACCAGTGATTTAAGTTTATTAACAGCTCATCTGAGTAATTCTGTCTTCCTTCTAAATAAATAGGTCAGTTTTTCTTATAAACCCTGTATTTTACATTTAAAAATTTAAAGCACATTTCATTACATATGTGATTTTTACAAAATTACTCTAGGAGAGGATTATCACTTTTTACATAAAAGAGAAAACTATTAAGACAATACTAAAACTAATAAAGTTCAAATGACTTTCTCAGGGTAGCATGCATTGATAGAACTAGAACTAGAATAGAGACCTTTCTTTCTGGAACAAAGGTAGGACAAGGACTAGAAGGAAATGTTTTACATCTTTATTACCAATGTTCTAAAAGATTAAGATTTGACAGGAACAACTCTGTGACAGACAACAGATGGATTTTGAGCTTATTGTTGAATGCTAGGAACTAATAATGACAGATTTTATCTCCTGCAGCATAAATGCCCTTAGGCAAAAATGGGTCTGATCCAACTTAGTTCAATGTAATGGATGATTTAATGAAAATAAAGTCAGTTCCCAACATCTGATTTTTGTTAAAAAAAAAAAAAAATTAGGTAGCTTGATTGTACTACCTATTATATTTCCAATTTCATTTTAAACAGCATTCAGCCATTCTTTGGAGGACCTTCAACTCACTCAAAGGTTGGGTATCTTCAGAATATCTGTAATGACAGTGATTCTCACTAAATGAGGCCCCATCATTAGCTGGCTATGGACCAGCACTATACGAAGCTCTACCCTGGGAGATCATGTGGACTTTTAGTTTTTGAAAGACAAGATCTAGTCACATTCTGATCCAAATCTTAGTTAAACGTGTTTGCATTGCAGTTTTAGTCTTATAAAATGATTAAATTCTCCAATCTATATTTTATACTTCTTAAAAATTTGCCTTCTAGTATACTAATATAATTTACGTTCAGGGTGATGAAACTGAAATGAACTACGTTCAATAACATTACATTTATACAGACTGCTTTCTGCTATCAGCATCTCACTTGATATATATAATCAAAAAATTATACGGAAAGTATGACTTTTAAAATAACAAGGTGACAGAATTTAACATTATAATAAGATATTTATACCTTATATAAATAGTAATTACAGAGTCCTTTTGTGCTTTTCGAAAATGTAAAAATATTTTAGTCAACATTTATTCATCTGGCTGTGCTATGTTTTTGATACTTGGGAGGTATTAAATATTCACATGTATCAAATGAAATATAATGGAGGTAATCACAGCAAAAAAACCAATGTATTTTTATAGAAGAGACTTAAGTGTTCTCACCTGAGGCTGCTGTGGCATTTGTAGGGGTTGAAGCAGCTGCTTGAATCCGAGCATGAGGAGGAATAAGGATGGTAGCTAGAGGTGGATTACTTGAAAGTTCTAGAGAAAAGGGAGACACATGTTAGAACTCACTCTTAACTTTGTATGTGAACTACTTTATTGGTAACAATAAATATAAGATACTACATTAAAACACTGGTTTAACAACAACAAAAAGATGTGATAAACCTACACCTGAAACTAAACTAAATCAATGAGCTACAGAGAAAGCCCACAGAAATGTTGTGATACATAACATGTAAACTATCTGCTAAAATTTGAATCTGAGAACTGAAGGTATCTGGGAGAAAGGGATTGGTTAACGTTTGTGAATAAGCATATTAATAGGATCTATTTCCATCTTTCATTAACTTAAATTTACTCGATTTTCCCAAACTATTCTGACAATATTTAACTACAAAAATTGAGGGTGATGGTGTCAGAGAAAGAGTATGACTGTAGTCTGTGTGTCTGTATGTGTTTGCACACACAACCGCATGCACAGAACAATCTACTCAATTGTTTATGAGCCAATGGCAGATAAGATCTATCCAAACACTTGTGGAAACAGGATTTAACAAACATCTGTTTAAAGTCTAATTGCTTTTATCAAAAATAAAAATATCGCTCTTCATTTCTATTTTGCTTTGTTAACCAATAAGACTGTAACTTTTTAAAAGTTTAAAACAGGCTTTTTACTTGCATGTGGAAAGTTTCTCTCTGTCAACTATATACAGACTGGTTTTCTTTAAAGAATCAAGTTCTCTAGATAAGCCTTAAGAGCTAATTTTAAGATGATATTGGATCTAATGATGCAGACAGATAATAAGGAGTGGTGGTGAGCTTGTATATATAAGCATCTAGTGTTAGCTTCAGGTAATGTGACTGTTCCCCCAGTCTGCCCAATATAACCCTAGTTTATTCTTTTTATTCATTCCAGCCTTTAACCAGTGAGTGTTCCTTTTGACTTTAATAAATGTCAGTTTGGAGGAATCATTACACGACCATACTATTAGCTACAGAAAGGTGTTATCCCCTGAGCTACGGTATCCATTTTGACAATTCACAGACATGGCATGGGATTTTGAAAATTAGGAAATAAGTTTTTTTGTTTTTTAATTAAAATAAAATCCACATAATATAAAATTCACCATTTTAAAGTGTATAACTTAGTGGCATTTAGTACTTTCACAATCTTGTACAACCATCACCTCTATCTAGTTTCAGAACATTTTCAGCACCTCAAAGGGAAATCTCCAAGCAGTCACTTCCCATTTGTCTCTCCTTCTAGCCCTTAGCACGGGAAATGTTTGAATGCAGTAGTTTAAAAATGTTTTCTGGTCCAAAGCCCCTGTTAATATTGAGTTATTCAACTTAGTATTAAATGTCTAAATTTTGCACTAAATTAAGATGCTAAATGATACCCAATTCTGGTAAAAAGAGACAACAAGTAGATGCCAAAATTTGTGAAAAACGAATAAGCAGAAAAGCTTAAAACTGAGAGAAATTATTCATTATTCTTTCCCTTTAATTGAGATGACTTAGGTCAGTTTGTAACAGTCTTCCCTGGGAAGACAGTTGAAAAACCACCACCTTAATGATCAGGTTCAAAGAGATGCTATTTTCTCATAATCAGCTTTAGTGGCTGTTTTGGGTTTCACAAAGGAACAGAAAAATCAAGTCAGTTCAATTTTAATCTAGAGTCTTGTTCCTCGGAAAGCAAAATAATCTCAATTGCCATGGCTGATGACTTTGTGGTTCTAGGAATAAAAATAAATGTAGAATGTGGTAGTTACTCTCAGTAATCTAAAAGTGAAATTTACCATCCCAATTAAGATTACAATCTTCGAAAAATAGAAAGGCTTCTTTTAAATCCATCAATCTACCTACCCACCGGCACCACTATCTACCCTACCCACCCATCCACTGAACAATACTGAACATGAAATAAGGTGTTAGGTCCCATGACAGAGGAAAAGATAGTAATTGTCTTTGTCTGATCAACAGAAATAGAAAAAGGAAAGACAACCAGACAAACAAGCTGGCAAGAAAGGCATTCAACCTATTCAGGAATCGGGCACTTTTAAATGAAAAGATCTCTATGACCAAGTGCCCTACGTCTGAAAGAATATCTAAAACAGGAAAAGATGACAAGACATTTTAATAAGACTTTTTGACAAAGCTACTTTGAAGATAATCTTTAAAATAAACTGAATATCAGGGTCTGTGGTCACTTTACTTATGATCCATGCTGTCCACTTCCTCCCATTTATTTACTCTTTCTCACCAGGTCACCTATCTTTCTGTGTGTCTGTATGTCCAGTTGAGGGGTCCTGGTGGTTTTGTGTCTTATTTTGGGTAAGGGTATACACACACAGACATACACACACACGGCTTGAAAAAAGCAATCCTCTTTATCGGTAGATAGTAAACAGTCATTTTGGCCTTGGGTAGGGAAAGACTGGTAACTAATGAAAGGAAAGAAGGGGGAAAGTGAAGAAAACGGGAGGCAAGAAAAGGAGAAGCTATGGGATCCTGGAGGGTTAACCACATTCAAAGACACAGAAGAGAGTGTAAGTCCACAAAACAATTAAAAAGACTAGGCTCTTTACCTACTTGCCAGTAAGTGGCCTTTTGGGTGGATGGGGAAAGACACTTCTTTGAACTTTTTTGAGTCAAACATCTTAAAAGTAAGAAATTCTAAACTGGACAATCACTTATGGTTCTATATCCAACTCCTATACCCCATTGTCCTTCCTTCTCTTCTTTAATTAGAGGCATTCCTTAAGGTCCAATGCTTTCCATCTACGTGTATGAAGCTCTACTTCACACAGCCTGTTAACTGTCATCGCTTTTGCCTATTAGGCCTCCTTATACTCTTGTAACAGTCCTGTTCGCTACACTACAAGTCTGTTCCTTTTGTGGGAAACAGACTATGGAGCTGTCACAACTAGTCCGAAATGGCTGTACTTGTTTTTTTTGCTCACAATAATTACTCCTATTCCCAATCTCCCAGTTTATCTATCTATGGCAATGAGTGGTAAGGACATCGAGGCAATGCGTGTGGACACAAACTGTAGTGCAAGAATGCAAAAAACCCCACAAAAAGGCATTTTGGAAGATAGAAACAGCAAAGTAATAGAACTTTTCAGGATCAGGAGAGTGCATATATTCTTGAATACAGAGAATAAGGAGTGTAGAATAGATTGAAAATGAAAAGCAAGCTAGTATTTATTTATTAAATATGTGTGCTAGGCTTGAGAGTAAGAAAATAATTAAGGGAACAAGGAGGTCCATTAGGTTGAAGTGGGGCTAGCTTTGGAGAAGAGGCAGGAAGGATAAGAGATAAGATATGGTTCAAAACAACATGGCAACACATTCCAGAAGGTTGTAGAAAAGTTAATGCATGATAAGGGTTTCTTCACCCATTTGCAGATGCTATAAAACTAGTCATCAAAAACCACATAGTTTATCAGAAAATATTAAGAATGTTTTGATGGTGTATCAATCATTGCATGCTCCATAACCAAGCATTTTAAAGGTGCACAATTTAAAGAAATGCAAAACAAATTTTAAAATAGAGATCAATCAACCAACATAGATATCAATCAACCAAAAGGTTAATCAAATTCACTTAACTGAATTTTGCTGCATGGTTGTTTCTACTGCAAACTATAAAAGAAAAATTTCCATGAAAAGACCAACTGGATAAATTCAACCATACCTAATCACCTGACAAAACCTGAAGTTTCTCTAAATCTAAAATCTCTATTCTTCCAAATATGATTCCCAAAATGAGTTACAAGAAGGAGCAGGTAAAAAACTTTCCTAGTTTTGTTTTATTTTGGGGGGGTGGGGTGGGGAGAGGGTAGGGTATAAATGTTTGTTCAAACTGTGTAGTGTGAAAGCTGAGAATAAATTTGAGACCAACAATCAATGTGTTAACCAGAGGGAAGAAATAACCCCTCTGTTGACCAGACCCCCTCTTACAGTGATGTAAGAAAGTACCAGTTACAGGTAGAAGGGAATATTCTTCCTTTGTTAGTTTTTTTTTTTTTTAAAGATTTTATTGGTGAATTGGGGGAGTGCAACAGCGCAGGGGAATCAGGGAAGGGGAACAGACAAATTGCTGTCTTTTTGTTCTTCAGTCTAGTTGTGGAGGACGTTGCTTCACTGGCCCATTGGTATTATCATTGCGCTCTTCCCGGGTGAGGAAGTTGCTCACTGGCCATTGGATGGCCACTCACGGTAGCTCATGGCAGCCCAGCTCCAGGTTGAGCTGTTGTTCACCATCTTAGCTGTAGAGGGCAGTGTCACTGGCCCTCATGTGGGATCCGAACTGGGGCCCTGCTGCTCAGAGCTGGCGTTCCAAGCCAACTCTTAACCAAAGCGCCACTCGGCCGGCCCCCTTTGTTAGCTTTGAGGGAGCTCAACCTACAGATTCCCCAGAAAGCAGACACTACAAGAGGCAGCCTTTCTTTTCATGTATCAGGCCTCTTATGTATATAAGAAAATTGCCAGTGGTTGTCTACATAAACTGTTATTTTTCTCCATTCACAAAAATCTTTGAATGATTTAACAATGGTGTGCTCATTTCATTTGTATACTTTTGGGGGGCAGTAATTCAAATGCTAGGATGGTCCACTTTGGTCTTTCATATTACTGAATTCTAATGTTGCTTATTTGGACATGGTTTTTTAGATAAACAAGTAACCCCCTCATAACTGCTTCTCTCCTCTCCCAACAATTTCAAAGTGCCTAAGAAATCCCTGACCAAGTTCCTAATGTTGACTACATATTCCATACTCATTCAGAAAATTAAATACTAAACTAATTAAATCAGACAAATAGTAAACAAATAATTACAAGGCTCACTGGTGACGCTTCATGTGAGGACTACATGATATATGCAAAACGCATGGCTACTTTGCCTTTAACTGCCCAAGAAGGAGCATCACAATTTATACCAGTCAGCTCCAAACGTCTGGATGTATTTATTGCACTACACTTCCAGTAGCAATATAGTTTAGAAGTTATCTAGCAAAATGTTAATATTGAAAAAGTTCTGGTGATAAAAATGTTTTAATAACCTAAACATCTTATACTCAGAATTCCATTCTTTATGAAGTTTAATAAATTATTTTGATTTGTTTTGTCCAACTAATAACCTTTTTGAGCATTTAAAAATAAAACTGTTAATATTTTAAATTCTGGGGGAAATCAGTGTGTGTTTTTCTGTATTCATTTATACTATGATTTTACAGTTCTCACCCTAGCACAGTCTATGTTTTTAGCTTTATTTATTATTTTCCTTTGTCTTTCTGGAGTTGATTCATTTTTAAAATCAGAATTTTGGAGCTAGAAGTGTCCTTGAATAATCTTTACTCCTACTACCTTATATTTTAAATGAGGAAACTCAGAGATGGTGCCTTGGCCAAGGTTTGTAACTTGACTTTAGGTCTGACTTACTTTTTTTCATGTGCAGTACTTGTTGGAAAACGTCACCGAGAAGATGTGGCTGCAGGTTTGACCCTCAAGCTGGACCTAGGCAATTGGAGTGACCCTCCCCTGGACTTTGAAATGCGGGGTCTGCTTGACTTCCCTGCTCCCAGAAGCTCCAAGGGAGCAGCCTTGAGACAGAAATATGGTGTTGAAACTATCTGGACTGGGTACATGACTGATCCAGTTAGGACCTCTATAAAATCTTTTAAGATTTGGCAGGCGGGTGCTGAGATCTACTCGTCTTGCGTCCAACCACCCAAGACAAGCCTGGTAAGTTCGTTCCCTTGCTTTTTAAACCTGCTACCTACCAATCTGGAGTGGTCTACTTTTTCTCTGGTCTCTCTCTGCTCTCCAAGTATGGGAGCCGGTTTCAGATTATACCTGGGAATCTCTCGAAGACGTTGCAACCCAACAAATACTGCATATTTTTATTGCCTTGGTTATTTATCATATACCACCAGTGTTCTGGTCTTCCTGGAAGTGTATCTGTCCAAACTACACATAGAAGTTTAAGTCAAGATATTAGTTTTTGATTGTTTGTTCCTGTATCATTCCACATTCTTCCCAGTAGCATAGCCAAAGCAGCAGAGTAGATCAAATAATCTCACAGAAAACAACAATTCTCATAAATAATTGATAATTTAGATATTAAAATCTTGAATATAATCAACATTTGCCATTAGCACTCTTGTTGCCTGAACTAAAACTTACCTGCCGCCTTCTAGTGCACGAATTTTCTCAAGCTCTTGCTGCAGTTCATTTCCATGAGTTTAGCATTTCAACACCTAGAAGAGTACTGCTTGCTTACCTAGAAAATTTACTCCTCTAGATTATTTATAAAATATTAAATAATTCTTACATCAATTCCTTTGATAAGTAAGAACAGCTCTACCTCTCATTTGTTTAACAGGATAAGCCATTTATTTATATTCAAATTTCCTCAAGTTCATTGTCTAATAAACACCTTTTTTAGCCACTTCACTCAAAAGAACACACTAGAAAACAGGGATAGCCTGTATTAACTTTGAAAAGTTATCACATAGATAACATCTCTTAAAACGTGTACATTTTTTGGCACCCCCAGTATATAGACAGACATACAGACATATAGAGCTATAGATCCCTGTTGGAATTCCTGATTCCACCTGCTTCCTAAGGCTTGATTCAGTTATGTCCAATGATCAGAGGAAATGGGGTATGCCAAAGGTATATCCCGGCTTCTAAAGTCTGGATGCAGATAATACTGTCAGTCAGGGGTCTAGAACAGGGGTTGGCAAACTGTGGCTCGCGAGCCACATGTGGCTCTTTGGGTACATTCCATCTCAAAAGTTTGCCGACCCCTGGAAAAGCCAATCCTGTCCCTCACAACAATTTAAAAATTATTCGAGAGACATAAATATATTTTTACATAATCACCATTATGTGAATAAGATCCTTTAAAAATTTTATAAATGAAACTATGATAGTTTTATTTTCATTTTCAATTTTACTTCAGAGCCACATGTACATACCCAAAGAGCCGCAGGTGGCTCACGAGCTGCAGTTTGCTGACCCCTGGCGGCTCTTCCATCTCAAAGTTTGCTGACCCCTGGTCTAGAACACTGAAGCCCCAGTGCCAGAAAAATGAGACGTCTGACAGTCTCCTGAGTTGGGATCAGGATGTCAGAAGGCTCTCAAAATTTTCTGACCCATATTAGTTCATCTCTCTTCTTCCTCTACCTGATCACAGAAATACTTGTGTTGATTATATGAAAGTAATACTAATTACCACTTATGGCTAATTACTCATGGCACAGCAACAAACATCAAATTGTAGTTAGCATTATCGTTAAGCTTTACTTTAATACAACACTATTTTACTCAAGTGTTTAAACTTCATAGTTCTGTTCATATAGTAGGTTTACCTTACTAATTAAAAACAACAGCAACAACTAGAGGGAGCGTTAGAAATGCCCAATAAATACTGGCTGTATGAATTAATAAATACTGTGTTTATTAAAAGTGGCATGTATCACTCACTCAAATATTCACTGAACACCTATTCTATGAGGATCAAGAATTATCTTTATTTCATTTGGGGGAATTTGTACAGGCTTCACTGAAAATTTGTTGTGAGGTTGTAGGAGGGCTTTATTCTGCTTACAGCAGAACCTCACTAACTGCCCCACCACTGAATTTTTCCTATCTCTGGACTCCTTCTAGCTATACAACCAATTGGGTGATTTGTTCTCCTTCTTCAACCTTTTGTATTATCCAGTTTTATTCTGATCAGCCATTAATTGCTGTTAACTAATATATGCTTCAAAGTTGCATCTTCACAACAGTTACATCTTTGCTTTAGTAAACAAGACCACCATTTGGAAACACTCCAAAACCAAAACATAGAGGATCAAACAGGATGACATCAAATAACACCTCTTCCCTGGATAGCTGTGCCCTTATAAAGAAACACTGTTGAAGTATAATAGTGATCTAGAAAGACAGGGAGAAAGTACCACTAGGTCATCATAGTCCAGTTTCAGAATGGATGCTGAGAGGACATTTTAATAATTAAAAAAAGGAGGACCATATCTCAAAATGATGGCACTTGCAATTTTATACACTTAGTTTTATGAAAAACCATTTCAAGGATATATTTACAGGGTCCATTTGAATAGATACAAAGACTCATGTACATACTTTTCTCTGATAGTAACAGAATCAAAAACACTGATAGCCACAGAGCCTGTATACTATGTCTGTATACCACACCACATCCAAATATATACAGTCTTCAAATCCTCAGAGACATATGATATTCAGACTTACACTAGAGACATAGTTATGTTTGATAGTCTTGGCAAATATAATAATTTGAAGCATCAAAATAAAACAATCTTCATTCCTTTTTTAAAACATAAACATTAGATATGTATGAGTCAAGTTTGAACTTATTTTTTTTTAAACTGAACCTTTACTTTTAAAAAGGCATGTGTCAATGTTGAAGTTACCATAAAAACTTGGGAAGCTTCTATAAGGACATTAACATTAGTGAATTTTATTAATAGTATGAAAACTGCTTATTCACAAAAGTCCTTCCAATATTTTCAAGACCATATTCTAAAATCTAAGCCAATTTATTTTCATGTTAATCCATTTTATAAATGTAATTTATTAAAGAATAGGTAAATAGCATTTACCAGGTCCTGATTCATTGTATTGCAATAAGCTTAAGATCGCTTCACACCCACTAGAATGGCTGTTTTTAAAAAAAGGAAAGACGTTATTGGTGAGGATGTGGAGAAATTGGAATCCCTGTACACTGCTGGTGGGAGTGTAAAATGTGCAAGCTACTGTAGAAAATAGTTCCTCAAAAAGTTAAACATAGAATTACAATAAACATAGTTCTTTTGTATATGCCTCAGCAGTATACAAAAGAACTGAAAACAAGTATTCAAACAAATATTTGTACACAAATGGTCTTAGCAGCATTGCTCACAATAGCCAAAAGGTAGAAACAAACTAAATGTCCACCAATACATGAATGGATAGGTAAAATGTGGTATGCACATATACTATGAACTGAATGTTTGTGTCTCCCTAAAATTCATATGCTGAAGCCCTAGTTCCCAACGTGATGGTATAGGCAGGTGGGGCCTTTGGGAGGTAACTAAGTAAGTCATGAGGGTAGAGCCCTCATGAATAGGATTAATGGCCCTATAAGATTTCTCTTCAGCATATGAGGATACAGTAAGAAGGTGGCCATCTGCAAAAGTGGAAGTAGGCCCTTATCTCGCAGCAAATCTATTGGCACTTTGATCTTGGACTTCCCAGTCTCCAAAACTGTTTGTTGTTTAAGCCACCCAGTCTATGGTAGGTATTTTCTTATAGCAGCCTTCATTGATTAAGACATGATACAGTGAAATGTTATTCAGCCATAAAAAGAAATGAAATACTGATACATGCTACAACATGGATGAACCTTGAAAACATTATGCTAACTAAAAGAAGACAGACACAAAAGGTCATATATTACATGATCCCATTTATATGAAATATCCAGAAGAGGTAAATCCAGAGACAGAAGGAGAAAGCGTTAATGAGGATTGATTATTTAATGGGTATCAAGTTTTCTTTAGGGACAATGAAAATTGTTTTCGAACCTGACAGGTGTAGTTGCACTCTGTGAATATACTAAATGCCAATGAACTGTTTACTTTAAAATAGTTCGTCCTATGTTATGTGAATTTTATCTCAGTTTTTTAAAAAAGCTTACAAATTCACAGAATAACAAATTTAGTTGCTTTTAAATTTTATTTTCTATAGTAATAATGGAAAATTATTAGCCAGTGACTAAAGAATCAAATGTAATTACAGTAGTTCCCCTTTATCTTCAGGGGGTATAATTTAAGATCCCCAGTGACTGCCTGAAGCAGATAGTACTGAACCCTATATATACTGTTTTTCCTATGCATACATATCTATGATAAAGTTTAATTTATAAATTAGGTAAGATATTAACAACAATAGTAAAATAGAACAACTGTAACAATAGACTGTAATGAAAATTATGTGACTGTGCTTTCTCTCTCTCAAAATGGCCTCATGTAGATTCAAAAAGTGTTTCATATAAAAAATTTAGGTGATGTAACCTAAAATCTACGATAGATGGTTCAAAAGTAGCTCTGATTACAAAGATACATTAAGTAAAAGATGCATACAAAGAGTTTGAACATAATTATTTCATGACAATTGAGATGTAAAAAAGTAAAATTCCTAAATTAATATTAACTTTATATAACATTAATTTAAAATACATGTGAGTCAACAACAACAACAACAGAAAACCCTTTTGGGATCTTCTTAATGAGAAAATAGAGGATCACTTTATTTCATGGATTATCAGTATATGCATTAGAAAAAATGACAGAAAAAAGCTCCATCATGAAATGTTACAAAGTGTTTATTTTAAATATTAAGTGGTATTTTGGGATTATGATTTTAATTTTCTCTATACTTCCTTTGTATTTTCAACATTTTCTTCAATCTACATGTATTACTCTTTGTTTTTTTTTTGTTTTTTTTTTAGCTGAGCCATCCTGCTACCTGTTGGCAGCTCAGTGGCTGCTCAGCTCGGGCTGGACTCGAATCACTGTTGCTCAGAGCTCAAACTCTTGAGCAAGCTCTTAACCAACTGAGCCACTCGGCCGGCCCCTACATGTATTACTCTTGATTAAAACAAAAGCAATAAGAAATATAAAATTTATTTTCTTTGGAGTTCTAAAACTTATGACATTGGAATCATAGAAACTTTGCTCTAGAAGAGACTGAGAAGAGCCTCCAAGTCTAATCTCCTGCCAAATTGGAGTGGTCTTCTCTACAATATTTGAATTTATCCAGCTTTTTCCTGACAAGAGATCAATACTTTGAAAATAACTTATTCTACTGTTAAACAATTGAAAACTTCATTGATTCTTTACTAACTTTATTCAGTCTCTATTTGTGCCAGGCTCTTTATAGTGAGCCTAAATGTTACTGCTTTCTAAGACAGTCTTTGAGGTATTTTTAGACAGCTCTCAGGAGTTCCTTAAGTCTGCACTTTTCCAGGCTCTATATTCAATTCTGCTTCTTTGTACACCCTACCTGCCATTCATTAATAGTTTTTTTTTTAAAAATGGCATAGCCAAGACCTAAAACAACATTCCAAATGACTTCTGATCAGCCCTAAACAGTCAGAATTAATAGTCCCAGGATACCTGAACATTTTTCTTTTATGAATGCAGTTTAAAACTGTATCAACACTGTTAGTAGTTGCATAATATTGAGAGCTTACGATTACCGTCAATAGAACCATCCAAGTCTATTTTACCAGCCACTCAGGTCTTCCAAATCCACAGCTTAAGTAATACATTTGTCCACATTCAATTTTTAAAAAGCTTAAATATGGGGGAAAAAAATTCACCTTAAAATAAATAAAATATATCTATTTCCTGGTGGTAGAAAGCTCTCTGTCTTCCTTCTATATTTTAGCTTGACTAATCTAAACTAATCCGTCAATCAATCCACTATTTTTTATTTTATCTACTTGGAATTGTATGTTCAATTTAAGAAGAAAACCACATCATTAGAGGCAGTGTGCTTGATTAAATGAATCACTTCAGGTCTTAATGAGAGAGAAAAGAAAAGTGAATACAGAAGTGGTGAAGAAATAATGACTATCCCTGGATCTTTTAGAAACCTGCAATACTCAAACTCAATTTTCCTTTCAATGTTTTCTCAGCAGCAGAAATGGTGCCAAGCCCCAGAGGGGATGGGAATTTATCTACGTCATCCCTTGTATGTTGTTGTTTTTTGATCTGTGTGATCTTTATTGCTGGTTCACTGCATCTTACTCTAACACAAATACTTGTGTACACAATGCTGGCGACCACTTCCCCCTCTGCCATGGCTCGCCCTAAATCCTTTCAGCCCTAAGAGTTTTAATTGTTTCAAGATGTTTGCCCCTTCAGACTATTGGTACCAGGTAAGAAACAGTTATAGCACTCCAGTTTTCCCTGTTTGTAAGATATCTGCGTTTATGCAAATACAGCCACCAGTTTATTTCTAGGTTTAAAAAACTTGATATAAATCCTTGGGAAATAAGAAATGCTACATATTCCAAGTTTCAAATACAAACCTGAAGGTTAAGTTGTAGAGCAGTCATTAGTGAAATCTCTGCAACTTCCCACATGCCAAGGTTTATTATAATCTGCTAAAAATTAGAGAAGCTATGCCTATTTGAAAAATTTTATCACCATTATTTTGTTCAAAATCATGTAGTGGTGGCCTAATAAATGGTTAGAAAGGATCTTTCCTACCCGCGTAAGTACTAAATATGCCCACTTGTGTCCTCCAGATTTTTAACAGAATGTAGCTTCACAGCCATGTGTAGCTTTCCCAGAAATGGTAAAAGAGCTTAAAGGTTTGGAATTACCTTGAGTGGTGAAGTTGAAGAGTGCAGGTGTGTCTCGCCCATTTGGTAGTTTGACATTTGGGTCCCGTAATTCATCAAAAAATGAATGTGCACAAGCCTCCAGTGGCGTCAATCGGGCAGTTGGTGTATACTCCAGCAGACGGCTACACAGTGCAATTGCCTCTGGTGGAGTTCGGGGTCGGAAGACCTGAAGTACAAATAAAGGGTAAGAATAATTAATGTTTCTTTTAAGTATCTGAGCAATTAATCCTCTGAGTACTGAGTTAATTCCCACCACGTACAAAAACATGGCTGCATTTATGAAAGGAACCTTCTAGAATGAAAAGAGTTAACTGCATACAACTGACCACGCTGGGGTGAACTGCTACTTAAAGACTATATGAGAAAAGGTCAGAGAAAAAAGCTAGGGGAAATGGGGGGAAAATCTATATATGCTAGTCATAAAGCAGTACAATCAAACATGCACACAAAATATGACAGGCACAAGAGAAAAGGTGGGTTCTGGAGGCCAGAACAAGAAGAATATTAAAAAAATTAAGTTTGACTGCAGTGGCAGTAGATAAAAGGTTGCCTCTTTTGTGTAACTTTTAGCAGAACAATTTTTGAAAATGGACGGCACTGCTCAAATTTGGCAATCAATACCTTTTAAAAAAGAAAAGCTGTTTACTCTAGGTCTATAAATGTTAATGATTTGGTATTATCTCTTTAATAAATAGAACCTCTCATTATTTGAAGAAATTCTTGAATACCCAGAATTTGACAAAATGTCCAAAATTATTTTCTCAAGTAGCTAGCTATTTATCATGAACATGGCCAGATTACCCTCACTTGAATGAATGTTCTAGTGTTTTAATCAGGGAGAGAAAAATGTATTTTTCATTCAAGTGCCATTAACTCACAGAAAAAGTCAATTGAAGGCTATAATGAAGCAAAATGCAAGTAAATTAATTTGCCTAAATGAATAGAAAGTTTTCTATTTATCTGTGTTTTAGAACTCCTAATCAATACCTAAAAATCTATGAAAATATACTTTATTTTAAATCATGGACAGTTAAAAAATAAAAGCAGAAGGGTAACAGAAATAAACATAAGCAGATAGAAATCCTTTGGGGAAAAAAAGAAAAATGAAACATAGATCTCGATAGGAAGAACACAGAATCAAACAGAAGGTGTGGAAGTGGTGGTGGTGGAGATAAACAGACATATAAAAAGAGGCAGAAGTGTATAAATGGAGGGAAATAGACCCACAAGTGAGAAAAGGACAGGTAGACTGTGACAAGGCCTGGAGGAGGCTAAGGCTTCCTAATGAGAAAGGCTCGTGTAACATCTGGGTAGTCATTTAGGCTGAAGGTAGAACTAGTTACTACCACAGAGCTCATTAGATTTCAAGAGACTATAAGAGTATTTTCTACAGTGAAAACCTTTTTTTTAACTTTGTTTTTACACAAACTTTGTTATTAACAAAGATATTTTCCGTGAAAATTGACAAATGGATTTGAGTGGGATCTCAGGAATTTATTTCAGAACACTGAAGGCCTTGTCAATTTATTTGGCTATGTTAAAAAACCCTCTACAAGGTCAAAAACTGCTTTATCTTTACTCTTGAGTGATTTGACTTACCTCAGTTAAGAGAAACTTAACGTTACTATATTATTTGAAATATTTAGATCTTTCGCTGTTCTTGGTAATTTTCCCTTCTCTTGCTTCCTAGCCAGATCCATAATCAAACTCATATGTAAAAGAAAATAATCGGTGGGAAAACTGACATATTTTTTCCTTGAGGGCAGTTTGCATTTATTTGACAGCATATGGATTTTGCTAGCTAGTCTAATAAAAAATGCTTTTGCTACAATATGGGAACACGTAAGTAGAACTGAAAGTAGAAATAAATATCTCTTGCTAACATTTAAATGTAGGGTAGCTGGACAGTGAGTGTACTCTAAATTAAAAAATTTCATGTTATATTAATGAAGACTTTGTTAAAGCTATTAATAAACCAGTACTGTAAGCCTATCTCTGATTATTAAAAAAAAAAGTTATCCACATCTTTTTGGTATCTTACAGGCTACAAGTGACCATCCATGTTGGTAGTAAGACACATATAAGCCTATTTTGCCAGGGAATTCTAACTCATGGTATCAAAGAATTATAAACAATAGAGAAAATAATTAATTTCAAGAGCCTACATTAAAATGAAGACTTAACCTGTTTTTTTAAAAAGCATCCATTATTGCTTTAAGCCCTTTGAGAGATTCCTGATGAGAAAAGCTTTGGTTCAGCACTTTATGGATAAGGGTTAAGTGAAAAATTATGTGGGGTCAAAGCCCAGTGTCTCCTAATTCAGATTTCTGACGTTAATACAGGGTGTGGTAGCATGCAACTTCCAAAAATTACAGGCCAAACTAGAAAATAGCTCTTCTGAATTATCTTTGTGTCAAAAGAAAAGGAAACTAATAACTACTGAAATTCGACTTATTTAGTAAGTCATTCCTTAGTCATTTAAATTGCTTAACATTCAGAATCTTTGATTCTGTGGATCCTCGTCAATATTTATACTTAGAAAAATAATAATTTTCAAACCCCACAGTTCCTAAACTTCAGTCTAGATGTGAATAAATCACTCAGGAGACTGACAATCTAAATATACCATAAGTGAAACCTTTATCATACAGTGAATGAAAACAGAAATCAGAGCTACCTACATTGTTTTTACTGTTACATTTCAAGAATGAGTAACTGTTTAGTCTTTCAAAAAATGTCTTCCCCCTAGTTTTATAGACCTGCCCTGAAATTTTGGGAAAAAAAAATTAAGTACATACCCGCACTCCTGAGGTGAAATGTCCTGTTCCTGACGAATCCTAAAGATGATAATGCAGTGAAATAATCCAAACAGGGGAAGTCAATCCAAAAGAGAATAGTCCAGCAAGGAAAAATATATCCAATGTTATAAGAAATCCATGGTGTAGGGGGGACATAGAAAATGTTTATACAGTTATAAACTTTAAACATCAGTCTCCACAGTAGCAAGTCCAAGTTTTAAAAATTATTTCACCACAGTGTATGCAAAAAAATTTTTGATTGCGCAATGGTGAGGCACAGTAAAGAAACATTTTAATTTTAGTTTATTATGTTCCAATGCCAGTGCATTTATTAAAAAAATACAAAACCAAAAAAAGTTAAAATCAAAATGAAATCTAGAAGTAAAGTTCCCAAAGTAAAGTGTTTGGTCTTCTATGACCTGGATTCATTGTCCATTGACAAGGCTGGGAGGGGGCATATTAAGACTGCTTTTAAAGATACGAGTTCCCAATATGCTAATTTTTCTCTATTAATGTATTCCAGATACACAGTATAAACATTTTTTGCTATATTATTAGTGATGAGAGGAAAGTTATAAATATATTTAATTTATATTATTATAGATTTCAAGCCAGATATTTTCAATTTATGTGAGCTAAGAAGGATCAGGCCACCGCGGATTATTCTCCATTTTGGATTGACTTCCCTGCTAAAAGATATTTGCTGACATTCTCATTATCTTAGGACTCTTCAGGAAATACATATGACCTCAGGAGTGCGGGTATAAACTTACATTTTCTATTGTGGGCTTTGCCCCCTCATACCCTTGCACCCATTACTTAGGAAAAAGAAATATAGAACATTCTTTCCTTTTTGGAAAAACTCACTGAAAAAAAAAATCCTACATCTTTGAGCACTACAAATTCAACACAGTTCCAACTGCAAATATGCCCAATTCACCCACCAAAAGCTAAACAAAAATATATACAATAAACAATACAACTAAGGGACAGTCACAGTTAGAGGTGACATGCATAGTAATGTACACCAACACCTAGGCACAACAGAGCCAAATATGCAAGGGAGGTAGTAGGGTCTATTATGTCTAGGTATTGAGAACAAACAATGGCAGAACTCACCAGTAGCTGTGAATTCCCTCGGCTATTCTAAGAGAATTTAACATTCTTTTAGGATAGTTTCCAGTGGGGGAATTAAATATTTTGCAAAAATAAATAATCCGCGGATTACTTTTAGTCTGCAGACTAAAATTTAGTACACGGATTAAAATCCGGCCCATCAGAATAAAAATCTTTCATGAGCTAAAATACAACCAGGTGGACAAAAGTAGAAAACCAGACTAAAAAAACTGAGAGCACAAAGTAAGACTCAACTGGGCCAACTAACAATTAGTGCGCAGACTAAATATGGCCAGCCAAGTATGTTAGCAAGGCCATGAAGAGCCCAAAACACCCCCTGTAAAAACTAAAAACAGAAGTAAATAAATAAAACAAAACAGAAGCAAATAAATAAATAAATAATCAAAAAAAAAAGAAGAGAAAGGAAAAACTGAAAAGAACCAAAACACTGACATGAACTTTTAAGTGATTCAAATACTACCTCACCTGTGCAGCAACTCATTTTTTTCTTAAATTGAAACAAACTCTCATCACAAATACTAGTCCACAGAAGAAACTAACAGCAAAAATTAATTTTTTTCAAAATGAAAGTCTCTGTGGAATCAAACAAATGCAAATGAGTCCTTAAATAAGGAATTATTCAAAATAAATTTGCATTTGGATAACTCAAAAATGACACAGGCAATTTCCCCCTTACATGTCCTAGAATAGACTTTTGCCATCAAATATCAAATTTCAACCTGGAGCTAATTGTTATGACTGAATCTTAAATCCTTTAACATTTATAAACAGTCACACATACCATATTAAGGCCTATGGTTGATTCTCATAGCATTAGCTCTCAACAGTTCTACTGTATTAAACAGCCAACCAGAGCAATTTAAAAACGCCTGTGGACAATGATAATTAATCGAAGTAGAACATAGGACACGTGCTGTGCCAATTCCAAACAGCTACTCCTCCCTAGTTTTCATTGTGATAAATGTTCAACATGGACACTGTTCTCTGGTCATACACAAAATACACAAGCACCCTGTATTAAAAACTGGTAAACCATGAACACTCCTAAAGAACAACCCTAATACTGGCTCAAGTAATCTATTGATCATTTAAATTATTTGCAATTTGTAAACCTAAATACAAGACTAAAAATGAGAGAATGCCATGGATTTGTTAAATAGTTAATTATGATGATTAACCAAGTTAATGAAGAAAAATACTTGTCTACTTGAAGTGCTTATATAGTACATAAGTCCTAAGAAACACAAACATCCCTTCCTTAGCCATGACAGAGCTGGCATTCAATGAATTTCATCTGCACTAACTCATTAAAAGGCTTACTGAGTTTTCCTGAGTTCTACTACATGTAAGAAATACTACATGTTTTGATACCAGCATTTAACTATGCAATGTATTTCTCCCTCTAACATCATTCACTGATAAAATAGTACTAAAGGCTGACAAAGAAGTGTGATTTGCCATTGTCCACTTATCCAATTTAATCTCTCATTGTTCATGCAATAGTAGGCAGACCTTCCTAATGATATAGGAATATTTCCTTTTCATCCACGCCTCCTTCTCATCCTAAGGGATAGTCTCCTAGGATACCACAATTCCCAACCTTATCCACACTTAAGCAAATCCAAATCTTCTTTCAACAGTCCTTCCCCCCATCCTTCTATCACTTTTAGGAGGCTTCCCTTTTCCCTCCACTACTCCCCTGGAGACCTGTCTTATAATACCTACAGCATGTGAAATACCTTTGAAAACCTATAGCACACAATCAAGTATATGGTTATATAGTCATATTATTCAATATTTGCTTCAACTGAGTCAGTTATATCACCTGTAAGCTTTTCAAGGATAACCCTATGTATTTTACTTCATTTGCATCCTTTATGGTATCCAGCACTGGTTACATAGGAGATAGGGGTTTTAAAGAACAAATAATAAATTAAAAATAGATTTTTGCCTTCTTTTTCAATCCACCCCAATCCTATCCTTTGCTCCTCACAAGTGATCTTGAAACTAGATCTTAGCGTTCTTTTTATTATTCCTCTCACATATGGATTAGCCACCTTAGTAGCCTAGTTTCCAGCGAAGTAATGGGAGTACAGCCAGTGTAAATAGAAAAGTGAGGAAGTCTACTCACATAGGAAACTGAATGTTAGAAATAGTGAAGTGATTAATTCTAGCACTGTAATAAAGATATAAGTAGAAAGTTCAATAGAAAACATAGTGTATTCATGGGACAAATGATAATGGATTAGTGAAATGTTCAGGACAGAGGGGGTTGAGTAATACGTAATAAGAAACTGATTCACCTAAGCCATAGAACAAAACAGACAAATGGCAATCTTAGGAACCAGCAGAAATCCCCAACACAGTTTTATTCTTTCTGGAATACGTGTGGGCAAAATGAGTAAATCGGAGGCCAGAAGAGGTAGATAAAGTGGATCTGCAAAAAAGTGTTTGACAACAATTTTGTTTTATGCTCTCTATGCTCCTCTGAAGGCATTTTTTGGTAATGTGTTAAACTATAGTTAGAACAGGTAAGCTTACTAAGTGAAAAATCTTGCATTGAAAGGCTCAAAAAAGTTGTTTAAGATTCTGAAGTCTTAAAAAAATAAATATTGGGCTGGCCGAGTGGTCCGTTGGTTAAGAACTGGCTTGGGACCCCAGAGGGCCCTGGTTCGGATCCCACATATGAGGACCAGTGATACTGCCCTCCACAGCTAAGATGCTGAACAACAGCTCAACCTGGAGCTGGGCTGCTGTGAGTCACCGGCGAGGGTGTAGGCTGCAGCCCCTGTGGCAGTGGGTTGCCATGGGCTACCGTGTGTAGCCAGCAGCCACCGTGAGCGGCCGTCCAGAAGCCAGAGACGCTCTGCCTCGCACGGGAAGAGCGCAACGATGGTGCCAACTTGGGCCAGTGAAGCAAAGTCCTCCACAACTAGACTGAAGAACAAAAGGACAGCAACTTGTCTGTTCCCCTTCCCCCGATTCCCCAATAAAATCTTTAAAATAAATACATAAATAAATAAATAAAATTGTTTAGCTTTAAGCATAGAGAATAATAAATATAAGTCTGACTGTTCAGGCTAGTCTGATTCCTTTGATAGCTGAACTCCATTTTCTGCTTACTCTGTTAGCTAGTTGGAAATACTAGTATTCATTCATTTTGAAGTATGCGGACAATGTTCTAAAAAATCAAGTAGTAAGGATTGGTTTTTGTGGCTAATGCTTTCTGGGATACTTAACCAATGATCGAAGGTTCCCCATATCCTATAGACACTTAACTATTAAGTAAACTGTCATATATGCCAAAAACTAGCAACGAACATTTTAAAGGAGGTGGTATCCTTTTTGTTACTACCATTATGAAAGAGAAATTAGGAACTGCTATATTACATATGGTATAACTTGGTAGGTAGTAACAGGAGTCATGCGGCGGAAATAATCACAGAGAACTCAGATTACTAGAAAATATCTCATGGAAGAAGTGAGATTTGAGGTCTTGAAAAAAGGCTAAGACTTGGTAAGAAAAGAAGAAGAACATTCTAAGTGTGAAAAAAAAAAAACCACTAGCAAGAGGCAGAAATGAATGTGGCATCTTTGGGGACCAATTAGGAGAACAGTTTGACTAGACCAAAAAATTCAGCATGACTGCATCATCCCCTCAAAGTGAGTTACAAACAGGATAACACTCATATATGTAGCTAACATATTAAACAGCCCTAATCCAGTTGAAAGAAATCAGGGCCCTTGGGATTCTAATCTACTTCCTTCCACTAACCACTTATGAATTTCATTAACCTTAAAGAATGCAGAGACATCTGTGTTAACTGACTTCACAGGATTTTTACTACTGGGACAAAAGGGGAATACTTGTCTTAAGAACTAGAAACAAAAGGGTAGCAGAGTCAGGTACTCACAATGGGGAGAAAGTCTTATCTATTACCATATAACTTTATTAGAAATCTCTAACCTATTCTAATGAAACACTAACTTTTAAAAATATTGCCTAACTATATGCATTTAAGGGTGGAGGAGCTGGAGAACTTGGTAAAGAGACTGGGTTCTATCAAGATGCTTCATGGAAGGTTAGGAACAGGTTAAGAACTAAATACCTTGTTTTTCTGGAAAGGAAACGTATAAACAATTAGGAACAGAGTGAATGTATAATTTGTCTTCCAATCTGGGACATGTGGGAGTGAAAGGGCATGCAATTCATAACTACACCGGACAAGCATAAATTGGGACATGTGATCACCCTAGTCATTATACCCGTATTATATGTCAAATTTTCCTAAAGGCAATGAGGAATCAGAGAAGAATTTTAAATAGGAATGACAGTATCACGTGTGCTTTTAAGAAAGCTAACTTTGACAGCAATGAGAATGTGAAGGAGGTGAAACTGAAGGAGGGAAACTGGTTAGGAGGTAGGAGGTTGTTTGAACAATCCTATTCTATGATGACAGTTTAAACTAAAGTCAGGGCAGTGGAGATAGAAAGGACAGATCACAGAACGATAATGGAGGTAGAATCTTTACATTTATTCAGACTAAAGTGAAATAATCCTTTATATGCATACTTTAAAACTATATTTTCAAAAGAATCCAGAGAAAAGACACAAGAGCTAATTGCTATCTTACAAAAGAGAAAACCTGAGGCACAAAGAGTAGGAACAGTGCTTAAACTAGATGCTCACTTCATACCTAACAAACTGTCATTTAACCATACCTCCATGTTCTAAATGCAAATTTTAAGCTTCCTCTCTTTTTCCAACCAATTTCCATCTCTACTTAATTCTCAGTCTGCTTTTGCATCACTTCCTTTTACTTTCCATCTGGCTTTTACTGTCTGAAGTATACAGCATACACCAATGCACAGGTCTTTATCCTCCTCACCCCCATTCCTAAGAATGGTACCTGTTTCAAAACATTAGCACCTATTTCATTTCCTACTTAAACCACAAGGTGCCTTATCAAAGAATTAGGTAGCTCTGGCTATTAAATAATAGTCAAGAGCAACTTACTTGATTTCTAAGTTCTCATGATTCCTGCCATATACCACACTGGGATCATCTTCTGTTTATCTTTCTTACACATCTGAATCCCTCACTGTAGTGTTTCTATGGAAGACATTCTCTCCCTTGATCTTAGTCTACTTACTTTTTTGAGAATACCAGCTTTCAATCCTGGTAACACAGCTGTACTACACTTCAGCACAGGAAACCAGGGTTCACATGGCAACGGCTTCAGGAAATAGGGCTAAAGTGCATTCTAACAGAAGACTGCAATAAAGGCAAAGTAGCTTTTGTTTGCAGACTCTATCTGCCCTCCACTCTTTAGAAAACAACATTATGCATGTATTTTTAAGAAATAACTCTGCTGGCTTCCTAGCACAAGGGAGCATTTCTCAAGTTTGTATCTACTATCACAATGGAGGGGAGAGGGGACTGACTTCCCTCTAGAAATTTAAAATTTATATTTTCATATTGATAATAACCTATTTTAAAAAATCAATATAAGCATACCCTGGATCATCTAAATTCTTCTATATGACAGAGTAGTGTCATGAAAGTTCTGTCTAAATTTGGTTTTGTGTTTACAACCACAACACCAACCCAGTAGTGTGCACTAATGAGAAATTAACATAAGTACACTTATTATATAATAAATGCATTTGTGCCAAGTGGAAACCAAATTACGTCAAGGTACACTATATGAATGAAAAGCTCACAGTAGTTTGAACATGCAAAATAGTTGGGAGAATTGTGTGATTATTCTATACATGGTAGGAATGGAAACCTAAATAAAACAAATAAAAGGGCTTTATATAGATTACTCAAGTTTGAAAAACATTAGTGTAAGATATAGAAACATCAGGAATCCATAAGGGCAAAGTAAGGTGTAAAACATACAAATTTACCACAGATCTTTTGTTGGCTGCATTTTAATTATAATCAATAATTCTTCGCATTCCATCCTGGCTAATACGTGAATTGAAGAGATATAATCCAGGAGAAAAAAATGCAGTATATGACACATACTAATATTGGTAGCAGTCTTGATTTAAAAAAAAAAAATAAGGATGGGGACTGTTAAATAAGATTTTATGACCTCAATTATATTGGTCAGAAACTCTATATTGAGTAACACGTGATGAATACTTAGATCAGATTACACCAAAAAGAGCTTAACTTTTCTTTCTTCATAAAAATAATATGCTTATTAAAGAAAATATGGAAATATAGAAAAAAGAAAACAAAGTCACCTACACTACTTTTCTCACCAAAACTACTGTTAAAATTTTGCAATATTTCCCTGTATTTATTCAATAGATAGAATTCTCTTTGGTTTTTGTTTTTCTTTAACATGGTTGAAATCATAGTATACACTACAAACCACTCGTAAGCACTTGAACTTAGAATAACTTTACTGGATTCAAACTGCAACTCAGCCTCTAAATCCAAATAGGCACCTGGGATTCTCTGAGTTTAGAGCCAAGTGAGAGACCCCCTAAATATCTTCTGACCCAGATTTAAAATAAACTTTAAATACAAAGATCAAAAAATGGTTTGTCTCAAAACATTTAGTGTTTGTTATAAATTTAATAAATGGAGAGTGGGCAACATCTTGGTCAGTGAAAGCTACAGTCTATAATTCTAGCACTAAAATACTACTGAAGTCTTTGCTTCTAAATAATATATAAATAATTAGTAACAACAGGATTTTCTGAAGTGAACACAGGTAATGAAATTATAGAAACTTGAAGGAAAGTAATTAGAATCATTACAATTTAGGGAGAGAAAGAGACATACTTTCAATCTGGAAATGTAAATCTTTTCAACTATAGCCCTAAATTACTTCACCTCATTATAAAAGATCTATAACTAATTAAATGAACTTACCAATGTTCAAAATAAACTGTTATATGTGCATTTTGAATACAGAAAGTCTCTGCTTGAAATACATACTAAAAAGTTGAACATTTCTAACCCACAAAAATATATAATGAAATATAAATAAATGGGGGGGATATGGCACATAACTATAAGTTTAAAAGATCTAGCATTAAACACACACACATGCACACGCATAAGTACATGAACAGAAGTTTACTGGCTTTGTCACAGCTACCTATTTAATGTTGAATAAGTCAGTATATTTGGCCAGAGTTTCTGAATCTGTAAAATGAGGAAGCTAGAGATTCACTCTAGCTGTAATCCCTACTGAGTTTTTAAATTTTTTTTCTTTGCACACTTAATCTCACAAATCAAATTAAGATAAAAAAAAAACACCTTTAAAAAAATCTCTCTTAAAATCATTTCAATTAAGAGTCAAAGAAAAAAAAGTCATATGGTAAATTAGTACTTATACTCTTAGAAATTGTTCCAGCTAATGTTGAGGTTAGAATTTCCAATGGCTAATGACATCCTGTTAACATATCAATTGCTTTCAATGTATACTCCTAGCAAGATCAAATCTGTTCTTTATTCCTGCTTCCAAAACATCAATAGGAAAGTGAATAAGAAAAACACACTATATCACCTAAAATAAGGTCTATATATTAATAGTTAAAAAAGGAAACACATGAAATGTATATTTTCAATATGCTGTATGATATTTGAACTAAAAATAAGCACCTCGATCTAAAGAAATTAACTTCTGAATTTTAAGTAGTCAAAATTTATATATGAATTTTGCTCTTAATGAAATTCTATATTTTAATGATACAAGTACACTATCCTCACCTACAAATAAAAACCCAAGCTGGAAACGGTCTATAGGAAATCAGTGGGGATGAAACTATAGTCGATGAAACACTGAAGTACAACTATCCAACTATCTTTACATGCAGAACTGCTGTGTACTTTGTACTCAGGTAGCTATCTAGTCTCAAAATAGTTTAGGTTAAGAACAATGAGGAACCCAAGTTTTAGTGAACTATTGGTTAATGTGCTTTTATAAAAAGTCTATTTGACTCACCTTAGTCCAAGGATGTGCCTTAATTTGAGGGAATTTGAATTCTGTGTAGTTTGGGTTCATTTCTCTAATTTGCTCCCTTGTTGGTGTCCCCAGGACCTAAATAAAGAAAGCAAGTTATTGCCACATTTTTTTTCTATACATTTATACAGTCTTTATGTTTCAATGTATTGGTTTCATTGGAAAAGGAATTCCAAAGTTATAAAATACATAAACAGAGTAGACTTTGTGAGACACTTTTAACTGACTACAGACCCACAGACTTTTACAATACTGTTAAAACAGAGTTGTAAAAATAGATCACTCAAAAACATTCAAGTAAAAAACCGGCATCTTCATTCTATCTAGAATATAATCTATTGCAATGCTGGCATGAACATAAGAATACCTTTTATTTATTTAGTAAAGCATAGCCAAAGGTTTTATTCTCAATAAATTAATCAGGAGAACCCTACTCAAATAGTAATCAATAATTCCATTCAATCATTGAATTATTTAGTGATTGTCCCCCGTGTATAAGGGAAGTATGTTATGCTCTATGGAGGGAAAAACGGAAAAAAACAAGAGATTTCCTGTATGATGAACTTACATACTTGTGTGTGGAAAATGTTTAACTACAATACAAATAAAAATTATTGAGCATTTCATTGCCACTTGGGCTGTAGTAGGCACTGAACAAAGGAAAGTATGTGGACCTGGCTGCACAAGACAGATGATGGGATGAAACACCAAATACTAAAAATAAGTACTCTGAAAAAAAAATGACATGTGTTACTCATCTTCATAACTCTAGGGCCTAGTATAAAACAAGTTTGTTGAAATAAAATATTAAGGCATTTACAATGCAAGGATAGTTACACAGGAGGAGTAGAATGTAATGATACATACTTGATTTGTGGTGGCAACCAGTGAATAATCAGAGCAAAGTAAGACATTCATTATTTTTTTTGTTGGTACTAATTTTCTAAACTTCATTAAAACTTTCAGACCCTAATAAAAATCTTCAAAGTAGTATTGTTCTTCAAAAGACACTTTTAAGAAAACAAAATCCAAGCTACAGACTGAGAGAAAACATCTGCAAAACATATATTCTGCAAAGGACTTGTATCTAGAATATACAAAGGACTCTTATAATTCAAAAACAATGAGACAACCCAATAAAAATGGGCAAAAGATATGACCAGACATTTTACTAAAGACGACATGGAGGGTCAGTCGAGCGGCTTGTTGGTTAAGAGCTGGCTTGGGACGCCAGCTCTGAGCAGCACAGCAGGGCCCCGGTTTGGATCCCACATGAGGGCCAGTGACACTGCCCTCTACAGCTAAGATGGTGAACAACAGCTCGACTTGGAGCTGGGCTGCTGAGAGTCACTGGCGACAGCATAGGCTGCAGCTCCTGCTGCAGTGGGCTGCCATAAGCTACCGTGTGTGGCCAGCAGCCAGTGCGAACTGCCAAGAGCTGCCGTCCAGAGGCCGGCAACCGATCTGCCTCACCCGGGAAGAGCACAATGATTATACCAACATGGGCCAGTGAAGCAACGTCCTCCACAACTAGACTGAAGAACAAAATGATAGCAACTTGTCTGTTCCCCTTCCCCTGATTCCCCAGTGCTGTTCCCCTCCCTCAATTCCCCAATAAAATCTTAAAAAAAAAAAAAGACAAGGAGATGGCAAATAAGCACGAGAAGATGCTCAACATCATTAATAATCAGGAAATGTTAATTAAAACTATAAGATACCACCTACACACTTACTAAGAAGGCTAAAGTTAAAAAGACTATGTATACCAAGTCTTGGTGAGGATTTGGAGCAACTGAGACTCATCCGCTGCTGGTGGAAGGGTAAGGCACCTTAGAAAACACTTTGGGAGTCTATTAAAAAGTCAGACATATACTTACCATACACCCATCATGGTAATTTACCCAAGAGAAATAAAAGCACATGTCCATACAAAGATGTTTACACAAATGTACATAGTATCTTTTCCACAACTGCCAAACAGTGGAAACAACTCAAATGTCCATAGCAGGTGAATGAATAAACAAGTGATGGTATATTTATACAATGAATACCACTCAATAATAATAATAATAATAATAATAATAAATGGACGAATCTAAAAATAATTATACTAAGAAGGCAGGCAAAAAATAATACCTACTGTATAATTTCATTCTTGGGGAAATCTAGAAAATTTTCTGTCTCTAGTGACAGAAATAAGATCCATGGTTATGAGGAGCTGGAGGGAGCATTAGAAAGAGGTACTAGGAAATTACTGGGGGTGATGAATATGTTCATTATCTTGATTTCATAGTGATAGTTTCACTGGTCAAAATGGACCAAATCATATACTTTAAATATGTGCACTTTACTGTATGCCAATTATACCTATAATACTAACTGTCAGAAACGACTTACATATTAGAATATATACAGTTTAAGGCATTGGAAAGGACATTCTGGCCTACAGAGCTATAAATCAACATAAGAAAAAAAAGAATCCAGTTAACTATAAACTGACATTTAATTGCCAGTAGGATAATTTCTGAGCAAATCCCTGATATTATTGAAAAAATAAAAATAAAAATAGGTGTAAAAACAATCTAAATTATAACACATCATTCTAAATCCTATTTCTAACATTTTTTCTGGGAAAAGGTTCATTCTTAGAGCACTGGAAATACATCTCCAATTATACAACTTCCCTTCCTTTTTGTAGAATTCCAGCTTTATAGAGAGAAGCACAATGTATCTATATTGGGAAAAAAATATCTGGCCTACAGAAAAGTATCTGTAGACATGAGACATTTAAAAGTCAGAAACTATCCATACTTAAAATATAAAGCCTACATGGAAACTTTAACTTCGTTTTTATTTTTAATAAAAAAAGCACTTATATTCTGTATTAGACCCTTGATGAAGAATATACGATATACACACGGAGAATATGCCTATGTATGTGTGTCTGTGTTTGTGTGTGTGTACACGTACTTGGAAAGAAGGAAAGGAATGAAAAAGAAGAGTGAACTTATGAATAATTCTGTCCCCTCAAATGCAACTCCACTGGATTAAGTGCTAAAGAAAAACAACAGCAATGACACAAATAAAGAGTACTTAAAAGTGCATACCTTCAATAACCCTACAATCTACTAATTCCATTTTAAGGTGTATACTCTAACCTAGAAAAATTCTTTATACATCCAAGCAACATTGTTCATTATAATAAAATATTGCAGGCAAAAGCAAAAATCCAACAGTAGAATCAATAAATTGAGGTACAATCAGACAATGCTATACTAACTAGCAATGAAAATGAATGAACCAGGGCTATACATAGCTTTGGGATGAATCTTACACAGTGGTGAGTTTTCGCTCAACAATTTTATACATATAGTATGATTGCCTTAAATGAAGTTTAAAAACAGGCAACATTAAACTATAGTTTAGTTTACACAGTAAAGCTGTAAAACTAAATCAAAAGCGTGGGAATATTCATGAGAAAAATCAAGTACAGATTATTCAACTTAATAGAGAGGATGTAGAAAGAGGGATTGTAATTGGAATGGAGCACAACTAGTTCCTCCAATTTTTTTTTAATTCCTCTAATTTTTAATGAGTGTCAGTTACATAGACATTCATTTATTATTTACAATTTTATTTGTTTTTGCATTATGATATATTTCACAATACATGACACTTAAGAAATGCCCACTCTTGAATTAGTGAGTATTTGTTGTATAATCCCCCACTATTTATTCAGTAGTTTGTTAACACAAGATACACTCCTAACACCTACGAGCTAGGACGAATGTGAAAGGAACTCGAGTTGAATGAATTAGTAAATGCATCCTTTTACTCTATAGACAGAGCTTACATGGCTTATCAGCCATTTGGCTAACTTTCCTATATAGGAGCTGTGTGAGAGAAAATTGAAGAGTTACAAACTGTATAATAAAAAGGCAGGGTGCTCCTTGGAGTGAATGTTACAATTCTTACATGTTATTTTATAACCTAAGACTATTCCCAATGGAAGAATATTCCCAATGGAAGTAAATCTGTGAAATATACCATAACACAGATGAGGAACATATGCCACATACACAAGGTTTGCTTAACATACAAACTTTTAATAATTTATTTAATGTGAACACAAGAAGGTATACTGTATGTGTGAGTGTACATTTACTCCCATATAATTTCTCCCTAAATTCAGTCGCACTTTAGATCTAACCATTTTCCCAAAATTTTGTAATGAAAAATTTCAAATATATAGAAAAAGTTGTACATTTTTTTTCACAGTGAAAACCACCTCCCTTTTTGCCAAGTACCTAGATTCTAGGATTAACACTTTACTATATTAGATTCATCACATTTCCATTCCTTGATCCGTACATCAATCCACTTTATTTTTTGATGCAGTTCAAAATCAAGTGCAGACATTAGTAAATGCCAGTATGATTTTTTACCTAATAATTTTTACCTAAAATCCTCCTTCAATACAGAACAGTGCATGCACTGTTTTGCACTTCACACAATGGGAAATAATCTGCTTTACTGAATAAGTGATATAAAAGATTCTCATTTATACTTTTAATTGGTGGTCAGAGTTCTTTACTTTCAAAATATGAATATTTGTGACTTAAGCTTAATTACTAATAAATGGAATCATTGTTCTATTCACTATCAATTATTTACAAGCAATTTAACCAAATAAATTAGTCTGTCACCAGAAAGTGGCAATGGAGATTTTCTTATTCCTTTGTTCTTAAATTACTAAGGCTATTAGAGAAAAAGATTCTAATGTTATGGTTTGTTCTATGTTTAATTTCTCTTGCCAAATATTCAACTACTATAATAATTTTTTTCTATTCTGTCTTATTATTATATTTTAATCTTAAAACCAGGTCCTCCCCAGGCTGGTTAACAGAGATGGAAACTAATGGGAGAGCCTCTAGTCCAAGCAAGCTTCTTCTGTAAAGAGCCAGAAAGTAAATACTTCAGGCTTTTTGGGCCATAGAGCCTCTGTCACTACTCAACTCTGCCACTGTAGCATAAAGCAGCCATGAACAAAAATTTATTTATAAAAATAGGCAGCAGAC